ATCCTCACTGAAAGACTTTTACTGTCCATAAAATACGACACTCAGTCTCCTGTCACTGAGATCTGATCTGGGTCTGTTTTTACTGGCAGAAACTCCCCACCAAGTTTAAGAAGTTCTATGCCGAGTTTGAGAGCATGATGGTGAGTTTTATTTCGCAAACACTTTATGGATCGCATTTCATTACAGTTTTAAACATTTATTTAACCCTTATTACAAAAAAATTAAATAAAATGTTATTTGCGCAGCTTTTGAGAAATGTCTCCATGACACCTTAGAATGAGAGTTTCTGGAGAGAAATGCTCCTTTTAAATTGCCCATCTACTTTTTAGTGGTTCATCACAATTTAATTAAAAGATAGAAAAACTAATTGGATGTCTATATAGCACTAGTTTCAGGGAGAAAATGGGTGTTACCTTTAAATGTTTTACGCCTTGTCCACATTATATTTTTTATAACAGTTTTGTTCTCCTTCTTCCTCCAAAAAAAAAAAAATAAAATTCTAATCTACATTTAAACTTTACAAACACGAATGTAGCCCTGCTGTGAGCACGCTAAACCAACAGGCGGGGGTATAACCATAAAGCCATGCTGCCCAATCGCTGGCACTATCCTGGCCCACATCCACTTTGCACAGAGTTACTTCCTGTAAACAAAGGAGGCAACAGCACACACTCTGATTATCACATCCCAAACACTCCCTCTCCACATGTCAACATTGCAAAGAGAGTTTCTAAAAATCTTCACACTGGAAGGAGTTTTATAAAAGGAGTTTTCTGTGATCTAAAACTGCATTTGTGTGCGTGTGAAAACCCATCGAAACACCCTTGTATACATGTGGACTAGGCCTGGAATTAACACGATTGACTTGTTTTGCACCAGGACCCATCTAGAAACCACCGATCCTACCGTCTTACTGTCACCAAGCTGGAACCGCCAATCATCCCCTTCATGCCCCTCCTTCTCAAAGGTAGGTGGAGACAGATAACATTAACTGCTATATCGTTTAGGATGTAATTATGGAAGATCTTGCTGCTACTAAACGGAGTTATTTCTTTACAGATATGACGTTTACACACGAGGGCAACAAGACATTCATTGACAACATGGTCAACTTTGAGAAAATGGTGAGTTTCTGTGCACGTTGAAAGAACAAGTGACTCATTTGTGGAGTCGTGTTTGCGTTCAACCTAAAGCAATTTTATCTTTGTCCCACCAGCGTATTATAGCAAACACCATTCGGCAAGTGAGACACTGTAGAAGCCAACCATTCAGTAAGTCTGCATGATATTCAAGAGCACACCTGCATCATATTCAAGTGCTGGCTTTGCAGACAGACTTTAGTATTTCTTTTTTTTGTGTTAGATCCCGACATTTGCCAGCCGAACAAGAACCAGGCGGAGGTCCGGGGTTACGTTAGGAAGCTCTGTGTGGTCGACAACCAGAGGGCGCTGACGCAGCTCTCCTACAGGCTGGAACCTCGGCGGACATGAGCTCCAGATCTTCCACCACCATCGCCTTCTCTGTGACGTTAGCATAAAAAAAAACCACCACAAAAAACCACACAAACACATTACCTGGATAAAATAACTCAACTGGACGTTTAGTAGCAAAATCACAGCAGTCAGTGACTTTAGCACCATTGTGGACTATAATGGATCGAGGATTCATACTGTGCCATTAAAAGCCTCTTCTTCCTGGACAGACAGAAGCTGTTCGGCTGCTCTCTCGTCGCCGTGTCTCAGCCGCCAGACTGAGGGTTTATATCGTACTAGTTATTCCTGTTCGGGACCTGTTAGATAGAAGTGTAATGTATAGAACTTGAATCAATATCCTGCATGACTGAACTTCATAGGCTTTGTGTTCTATACAGTGGATTTCTATCAGAGTGTCCTGTAATGTCGTGCTACCCCAGATGAGCCCTAGTTTACAGTACATGACTGTACCTGCCTGTAGAGCAAACCTTTCTCTCCTGACGGTCCTACTCATAGCCAGAAAACACCGGAAACCCCACAAACTGTAGTGATCTAGACTCTTCATTTTTCCCTGTTGAATATACAGATAACTATAAAATCTCAGAGTATGTATTTACTTCATAATCTAAACAAGTATATCAAAGTCTTTAGGATGTGATGTCCTTTAGGTGAATATCCTTTAATTAGTCGGACACTTTAAAACTACATAACACAGTATTAGCTGAATTGAAGCCCTAATGGTGTTACGAGCAGTGTTCAAATTGATCGCTGCAGTATTCTTTTTAACCATAAATCATTCTCGATGACGAAGTTGCCTGGTTGGATCTGTTCTGAGGTCAGCTGCACAACCAAATTGCACTTCTCTGATTTGGACTGATTGTAGATAACAGAGTCTGAAGGTAGCTTCCACTTCGAGGGGCAATCTTGTCATCTCTACCAGTTGTGTTCAGTCTGTGTAATTTTATTTTTGTATATGTGGGTGTAGACTTCGAGTGTGTTCTTGACAAGTGTCATTAATTTTCATTTGATCTCAGGAGCTTTTTGCTGTGATGGTGTGTGTTGAGAACTGCCGTGAGGCTGCCTTTCCCCCCCAAAAGCAGCCTGTAACTGTATTGTATGTGTAGTCTGCCTTGTAAATAAAATAGCTAATTTAACAGTGCTGATGCTTTCATGACGTTCTTCAGAGGGTGAGTTTTCCCCGCAAGTGGTTGGGGCCTGAGGATGATGTTGCTGGTTGGTGTGTCACGCAAAACCCAGAGCAAAATATTTCAACTGGAGTTATGTTGTAGAACTTTTGACATCACTTACATATTTATGATTTACACCAGTTGTAAAACCCAACAAAGGCCTACGTCCCGAATGGCATACTTTATCTTTTTACTTTCAGTTCATCCTGCAGCTGCCCTCACAGGGTACGTACTGTTGCATGTAGTATGCATACAAATGGGCCGTACTACTTCATCAGAATGAAGCTTTGGCTGTCTGGCTGATATATTCATTGCAGTCTGTAGTGCAAAATGAGCTGTCATCTGTCTGACTGCTCTCGGCAGCTCAAGCTTGTTTATACTTGTGCAAGACACTGTGACGTATGTGATGCATCTTCTGCCGTGCAGAGGATTGTGGGTTGGAATGGCCAGAAGAGCGTGCAGCAGGCCTGCATACTGTAAAGTGTGACCGGATGTAGTGGGACATCCTGGTATTACTGGCATTCTGCACTTGAGATACTATGTACTGGGACGTACCATAATGTATGCTAGTGTGATTATTGAAAGACATCTTTGGTAAAGACTGGCCTCCTCTTATTCTGATAGAGCCAGTTCTGGAGACACTACAGAAAAGACATCACCTCAGCATCTCTGCTTTGGTTTTGAGGCGACACATTTAAAATGGAACTCCTGCAGTACAAACTGAGCTGTGGGGTTTACCAGGCAGGAAGGATCTCAGGCTGACACTGCAGTTAGCCTCCTGTTTGCATGTCGTGTTATGGTTTTTGAAATCCTCTTTGCTATTGGAAACAACAACTTCCACGCAGCCACCTACACACTGAATGTCTGGAAACGATCTAGATCATGATCAGTTGGCTCTGTTTGGTTATTCTGGTGAGTTAGCCATGACGGCGCTTGACTTCCTCTAACGATTCCCTCTGACACTATTTAGCCGAGGCACCATCTCTGTATCCTGGGCTCAGCACCGCCCGACTGTGATTGGTCTAAAGAAATACAAACAAGTCAGAGTGCTCTTTAGAAGAATGATGATATAAGACAGTGCTGTGGAGATTGGTCAGGCTTTTCGAAACTACTTAATGAGAACTGTAAGATCCATCTGAAGTGTAATTCTAAACCATGAGATGCTTCTTTTCTTGAGGGTGATGCTCTGTCTGATCCTACTTTCTATTGAACTACGCAAAATAAGTTCCTCTGAATGGAAGAAACTTTACTCTGCAGTGTCAGAAATAGAAACAGGCAATATTTAATATTGCTGCAGCCCTCTCAGTCTCTGTACATTTTGTCCGCTGCCACATTTGGGCCAACTCTGCACACTGTGAATGAAATATGACGCATACACTCCTGGTTCAAAGAGGAGGAGCCCCTTAAATTTACATGTTGACTATAAACCTCCTCGCCATCACCCTCACGTAAAAAAAATTTCCATGCACAGATTTGATTTTCTATACAGTACAGGCCAATAGCTGAGCTCACTTCTGCTCCTCAGAGGGGGGGGAAGGAGAAAAAAACAGAATTCTCTAACTCTGCAACCTGTTCTGTCTTCAAGCAGCAACTTCTCTCAGCGTGTTCAACAAGTGTGGTGATTCATGGCGGCCCCTGGGAGCCGCCACGTTGTCATGTTTTATTTACTCAGCGCATCACTATGAAGTTTGCTCTTGATTACTGCGGACGACTGACAAACGCACTAAACTTCCCGCGGCTGATCTCACCTGTCCCTACGCGGTGATGTCAGCGCGGCTATCCTTTCCTTGATGATGTCAGCGGGTCATTCCTGTCGGCTTGAGTAACGCTCTGTCCCCGCCTGGCTTCTCTGGTGAGTGTGCGAGAGAGATGGATTTAGGTGTCTGTGGCGGTCGACCTCCTTGCTAACTGATTTACTATGTTAGACACGCCATAGGCCAGAGCTGTATATCTGAGTGTGTGTCACTGTGTGTGTGTGTGTGTGTGTAGCGTATGTAGAGCTTTATATAGCCACAGCTCCCCAGGAAGACGGAATGCCCTGGATGCCAGTGACCATATTTGAACAGTGGTGTCTGCTGCAGGGAGACTACACACACTGACTGTAAAACCCCTAACTCACACACACTCACCTCTCCTTCATCTTTGAGCTGTGTGTGTGTGTGTCTCTGTGTGTGTGTTCTGTGTTGCAGTTACACTGGACCACCACTACCAGGCAATGTAACACCTTGTCCAGCAGTGACAGTCCACTTTTCCTGACTCACAGAGAGCAAACTTCTCCCCCTCTCTCTCCCTCTCTCTCTCTCTCTTTCCAGCACTTTCTGGTTTCTTCTCCCTGACAAATCCGTTCTGCTGACTGACAACATCCTCCCGTCGGACCCAGAAGAAACTTCTCCTTCCTCTCCTCTTTCACTTCTCCTCCTCGCTCCGTTGTGACTTGCAAAGGTGGTCGCTGGTTGTCGAGCAGCTTTTTTTTTTTTTTTCTTTCTTGGGGGGGCTAAGTGTGTGTGTGTGTGTGTGTGTATATGTGTGTGTTTGAGTGAGTCAGTATGCCATGTCGTCCCCCGGCTCGTCGTTTGTGCAGATAAAGCATGAGGACTTGCTCTTCTATGAGAACTGCGGAGGGGGCAGCTTCGGGAGCGTCTACAGAGCCCTCTGGATATCCCAGGACAAGGAAGTGGCTGTGAAGAAACTCCTGAAGATCGACAAAGAGGTAAAACGGAGACACACACAGAACAATCACTCGTACATGTAATTTCAAGATCCTCTCCTCTGTGACCACTCAACAAGAATCCACCAATTTCCTAGAATCTCTTGAATCTCAAACCCCCCCTCCCTCCTTCCCTCCCTCCCTCCCTCCTCCACTGTTGTCTGCCATTGACCATGTGTTTATCTTAAACATACCTCTCCTCGTCCCCCCTCCTCCTCCCACTCTTTGTAGATGGAGCAGTTTTATTAATGCCTGGACTCCCCTGTTCCTCCCATTGTATGTCAGGATTAGGTGTGTGGTCACTTAGCGTTGATCCAAACATGATTTCCTTCCATGTTGATAAAACTGGGGAAGCTGTCAGGAGTTTAGGGCGGCCTGTGGGGTGAGGAAGACGAGGAGTTATTGTTTGTTGCATACATCAGAGAGTAGAAGTACTGTCACACACAGCTACACGGGGAAGAAGTTTTGATTTGTTTGTCCCAACGTCTTCTTTCACTTTCTTGCAAAAAAAAAAAGCACACACAGAGGGCGAGCAGACATAAACGTGTGTGTACAGTTCACATGTAAATACAAGTTGATGGATTACGAGCTAAGTGGATCCTTCATGCAGCTTTTTTTCCAGATCTCTGCACAACATTTGCAAACTGATCTCACACGCCAGAAGTGATGGGACTAAAACATAAATTGCTCTTTGGAAGAAAATGTTTGGTTGCAGTTTTTGTGCAACTCATGGTCGTGTTGTTTTGGCAAAAAGTTACATATCCCGGCACGCAAAGGTTATGATCCGTATGTCAGCTCAGATTAATGGCGTGTTTGTCAGCGCGGTGTGGAAGGTCTTTGTTTGGAGACTCAACCTGAGGAATGAAAGAGGTTCCCGACCCTCCGCTCAGGCGCTCCGGAGACGCTGGAATCATTTTAAACATGAACAACGAGTCGAACGTTTAACTTTAACACTCTGTCAGGAATTCTCTTCTTAAAGGTCATGTTTTGTTTTTTGTTTTCGTTGCCAGTGTCAGATAAATGACGTGCTAACGAAGGTGCTCACATCCCTTTGTTTCTCTTTTTCGTGTCCCCCCCCCCCAACCAGGCCGAGATTCTCAGCGTACTGAGTCACAAGAACATCATTCAGTTTTATGGAGCTGTGCTGGAATCTCCCAACTATGGCATTGTCACAGGTCAGGTCCCACGTGTGTGTGAGTGCTTGTGTGTGTTTGTGACATTCATTGCATCCTTTGTTTAAATTCCCAACTTCAGATCTTTAAAAAAAAAAAAAAAAAAAGTGCTCCACATATAAAAATCGTGTGTTATTTTCACTTGGCCAGAGGGAGATAAGTAACATTAGGTTAGATCGGAGGCGATGCATGCAGAGGGGGGGGTTACGGTCAGTGCACACTGTCCTGCCAAATAAAACTATACAAGTGTGTGCTTGTAATAGCGTTATTAGTGTGTATTTGATCCTGGATGGAGAACGTTACAGGCACATTATCACATGCTCTGATGGCCGCACAGTGTTTATGTGTGTGTTTTGAAGCATCAGCGTTTACCCTGAACACTGGTTCTACTGGGTTTCCTGGCAGGACATCTGTAACTGAGACCAGCATGTTTGAATGTAGTTGTAATTCTGGATGAGGTTTATAAGGTTAAGATAAAGCCCTGACTCACTAAAAATAAAAATATAAAAAAAAGTACAGTAGGCATTAATAAGATCCGGTCAGGAGGCGGATTCTGGTCTCAGTGAATCTGCAAATTTGGTCACATTCGGGCATTCGTTTCAGTTTTCACCAGACTACAAAGGCTTCCCTTCGATTGAGCGATATCCTCTGACCTCCGCTTGTCTCTTTGATCTGTCGGACATTTACAGGAAAATGAGGGGAGGTTTAAAATTGCCCCTTAATCTGGATTAGACAACCACTGTGTGAAGGTTGTGAGATTTTTTCCACTGATGTGAGCTGGATTCTCTGTGTGTCGGTTGTAACAGGTTACTTCACCTGTTTGGATCAGCAGTAAAACATCAGCTGTAAATGCATTATGAAATCATCACATTTGAATGTCCAGTTCTGAGAGATCAAACTCAGAATGGATTTGCGATTAATTAAAGCTCAGTAGTCACTGCACAAGATGTGTAGCCGTGCACATGATTTCTCTTCTTATTTGTTTTATAATGTTAAATTTGGCTTCTGTGTGTGTGTTTGTGCGTCACCTTACAGAATATGCTAGCGGAGGGTCTCTGTATGAGTACCTTTCCAGTGAGCAGAGTGAGGAGATGGACATGGAGCAGATCATGACATGGGCCATACAGATAGCCAAAGGTACACTTGAAGGAATAATAATGAGATTCTGATATCAGGCATCTCAGAGGCAGCGGCACCGATAAGCTCACCGGTGTCCTGTTGGAGTCATTATGTGCCAGAAAGATAATGTACAGCAATGTTTTTTTGAGATCTTAATAATAAATAAATGACTCAACCTGTTTACATCCGTCCCTTTCAATGAAATCTTCGCCTATTGGGCATATATGAATTAAAACTGGGAGGGCAAAATGCATGTGTGAGGCTTTATTTAAAAGGTAACATCCTCTAGTTTATTAAAATGTGCTTGTTTATTCTGTAGCTGAATTACAACCTGAACCACATCGCTTCAATCACGGCTCAAATCATTATTTTTCGTCCCTGTTTATAATAAGTTAGATTTGAGTACACAGTAACTGAGATGTGGTTTTAATACGAGACATACACACCACATACAATTCTACATATGTAGGAATATAAATTCCAGACCTCCAAGCCTAATATATACAGTTTAGAAATAAGATGTGTCAACACCTAGCAGATCACTGAGGCAGCAAATTCTGAAAAATATTTACATTTTTTTTCTCGTTCTGATCATTTCATTTCATTGACTTCATTAGCTCAGTCACATTGTACGGACCAGTTCAAGCTGTTGAGATCAGTTGTTGTTGAAAATGTTGTCTTGAACCGACATTTTAGCCCTGGTTATTTCAGTGGATTTCTGCATTAACTCAAAGCTGAGCCCAAGTCAACATGTTATATAATTATTCATCCAAAACTTGAATCAAAGAATAAATATCAATGAGTTTTTTTTTCTTTTTGCTACTCAATAATGTTTGATTTTCCTCACAGGGATGCATTACCTCCATGCAGAAGCTCCAGTCAAAGTGATTCACAGAGACCTCAAGTCACGAAATGGTAACACATGATCTAAACCTCATTCTGATTGGTTGCTCTCAGTTGCTTCCTGTAAATATTCATGTCTACGCATAACTACTGCGTGCCCGTTGACTGGTTTCTGTATTCTCTGGTTTACAGTGGTAATGACAGCAGATAAAGTGCTGAAGGTTTGTAACAATGATTTGATTTATTAAAAAAAATCAAAAATAAATCCAAGTATGGATGTTGTATTTATATATGTCTGAACCTCTTTTCGTTGGGGATTCCAGATTTGTGACTTTGGAGCGTCTAAGTTCCTGTCCCACACCACCCACATGACGGTGGTGGGCACTTTCCCCTGGATGGCTCCTGAAGTCATTCAGAGTCTGCCCGTCTCTGAGACCTGCGACACGTATTCCTACGGTGTGGTGAGTCGGCTCCACTGTGTAAATATTGTAAGATCAGGAACCAAACTTCAGTAGGTTTTTGTAGCAATCTAAGAAGAAGCACTGAGTACTGAAAACTGTTTTGTGCTTAATGTTTGAACTGAATGCTCTGATAGGCTCTATATGGTGGAAAATTCAGGAAGCTCTGATTCTTTTGTTGTGTTGAGTGCTTTATATAAACATAAAAAAAAGCTAATATTTCCCAAAGTAACATCAAGTGTGCTCATATCATTTTTATTATCAGTGCTATTTCTTTGCATTAACCCTCTGTGTGCCAAAACCAGCCAGCCACAAATAATACAACTATTATAAAACTATTTATCAGAGCCAAAAACTGTGCAAACAAGAATTGTTGGACTGTCAACCCAACCCAAACTTCTCACCTGAGAGCATAACCAAATCTAAGATTAACATCCTGATATTTCCTGACGTATTATTTTATTCTACACATCTCATTTAAAATTTTTGATACATTTAATAAATTATTTGCATCCATGCTGTGTAAAAAGCAAAAAATTCTGAGCTCCCAGGTGCAACCATGAAGCCATCAGTGACCCAGCTGTTGCCAACGGTCACATAATAAAAATTCAGGGAGTTTTCTGCTGAACTGCAGGCTGTGTTTACTCAGAGCAGAGACAAGTATGGAAACAAATTAAAAATGTAAACAGTATTTATTGCATGTAGAGCCACCATTTCCCTCCAACTACTGGTCTCTTTTTAGTTTTATTTTTAATATTTGTAAATTAAATAATCAAAGAAATGTAACTTTGTTTTTTCCTCCCTTTTTTTTTTTTTTTTTTTAATAATTTCTGGCATTCTGTCATACTGCACAGAAGACATTTATGAGTTCTCTACTTCTAGCCATGGTTTAGCTGTTTCCATAGAGGTGAAGGAATTTATACTGCAGTGAAAAATGAGCCCAATAAAGTCAAAATATGACAGGAGGAAAAAAAAAAATTACCAAGAAACTGCTCAGGGTGCATGCTTTGGTTCCTCATCTAAATGAACCGACGCTGTGTGTTCTGTGGCCAGGTGCTGTGGGAGATGCTGACTCGGGAGGTTCCTTTCAAAGGTTTCGAAGGGCTGCAGGTCGCATGGCTGGTGGTGGAAAAACAAGAGGTAACCTGCACGTACATACGCTCACAAACACGCCTTTCTGACTGAACACACTGTACGCACATTAGACCCACCAGAGCTGGAGACGGCTGGAGGCACAATGCGATGCTCTCATGGTTTCCACTGTGAGCTGGTGAGGCTGAGGCAGAGTATTTTTAGGCCTGATGTCAGTTCTCTGCTCTTGTAAGGCCTGGATACACAGCAGTGGAGCTTGGCCAGACTCCCCCTGGCTAAAGCCTTTACGAGCGATAGAGGGAGAGAGACACAGAGGGAGGAAGAGAGAGAGAGAGAGAGAGAGAGAGAGAGAGAGAGAGAGAGGAGGGGAAAGAGAGAAAATCGCAGCGATAGGAGGGTTGATTCTGGTGGTTTATGGGTGGTAGGGGATGATGGTTATACTGGGTCTGTGTTTCACTTACAGACATGCTTGAATCCCCTTCAACACACACACACAAACACACACACACACACACACACTAGAGGCCAACAAACAACTCGGAGAACATGATTCCTGCGTAGCTGCTGGCTAATCTCCAAATACTCTCCCTAAATAACTCACTCTCTCTCTTTCCCAGTCTCCCTCTGATTTCCCCCTCCATTGCTACACCTCTCCTCCTGACCCTCCAACTTGCCCTCTCTCCGCTCAGAGTTGGTGATATTTTAGGATTAATCCCCAGAGAAAACTGTTTCCATTTGCTGCACTGTACTATGGAGCTGTCTGGGCTCATTCAGACCTTTGATGACGCCAGTGGGCTCTTTAATGCTGGGGGGACATGGTCTCAGGGGCACGCTGTGTGTTATTGTTGTTGCTGTTTACACGTTGTAAAAAGACAAACACAGACCCACACTAGGTTCATGAAATGCTCAGCTGATTACATATTTATTGGACCGTAACGACATGTGTCCTCATTTTCCTGGAATAGTGCTAATTTAAAGGGATTTCACAATCAGATTTTTTTACTGTGGGTCCAACATAACAGACGCACTTTTCTCTGCCAAAGCTGATTTCAAATGGGTGGGACTCAGTTGGATTTAAAATCTCAGTTAAAGAAAGAATCTTATGGTGGGAGGACAAGAATGCCATAGTTTTGGTGCAACTTAATCCTGGATCTTTGTCAGAAGATCCTAAGTTTCTCATAGTGTCATGTTGAGGACATGAGTTCTGTAACATAAGAAGGAGAAAGACCGTTTGATGGCTGATGATGCTGAGAATTCATGTGAATTTTGACTCCCTGATGCCTCCAGGATTTTTTTTTGCATGTGATTTCACAATGTGTCCAGTGAGAAGAGATCATGTTGGCTAAATGCTGTGGTGCTACTAATATGACATCAGACTAATTCCCACTGAGCTGGGGGGAAGTTTGCAGCCGTCCAGGATTTTGCGTCTTGAAGACAGTCACTGAGGTCAGTGAGTTTGTTGTAGACATTTAGGGTTTTTCCAGGCTCAGAATGGGCCTTTAGGAGGGGGACAGTGAGCATGATCAGTTCGTTTACAATTTTCCTGTTATTTCTAATCATTTGATGAACAAATTAAAATACAATTAATTTGGTGCTGGATAAAACCTCTCTGCAAGATGCCTTTTATTAGGTTCGGGGCAAAAGAGCTGTGTGTCATTCACATACCAGTGAAAAGAAACGTGTTTTTACACAATGTCATGTAAAGAGAACTTGATTGGTACAAGTATAGAATCTGGTGGGAATGCACAGGAGATGCAGGCTGCTGAAAAAGAGCTGGATAGGATGAACTGAACCAGTTTGAGTTAAGAATAAGGATGCAATAGTTTACAATGGTGAAGTCTGCAGCTAAATGCAACACAAAGAGGGTGGAGCAGTTACTGTACCAGGGTTAGCAGTTAGGATATTTTCATTTCCTCCCTTCTGTGAATTACTCTTAAACTGGATTGGAATGTTTCAAAAATTCACTCTTGTTTTTTTTTTTTTTTCCTGGCTTGACAACTGCATGTTTAAAGGAAGAGCAAACAATGGTGGTTACCAGGGAACCACTGACTGCGGGGGCAAATGGTGCCACTAACGTCTTTGAAGTGTTTAGTTGGAATCATGTCAAGAGAGCAGATGGTGGAGGTCTTCAGAGGAAATAATGTGATAAAGCTCTGGCAGAGTGGTGGAGTAAATAGAATTAGGAATTGCTGTGTCCTCAGAGGAGCTCCATAGACTATCTGCAGATGGAATAACACTAGATTCAAAGTCCTTGAAGTGCTTTCTCTGAAAATCCTCACATTTTTTTCCAAAGAGGCTTCTACTGAGGAGCTGATGTTGACGATGACAAAATTCAACAAAATAAAAATTCCCTAAGAATATGACACTTTTTGCATTAAGGATCAGCAAACTTTCGGACTCTTCTGCTTCCAAATACGATGACAGCGCAGGAGACCACTGTCGGCTAAATGATTAAATCGCGTCTTTACAGACGTGATGAAGCAGATTCACTTAGCATTTAATTAAATGTTGTTTAGCGCTGCTGAGCAAATGAAAGCATGCTAACATGCCAAACTAAGATGGTGATCTTGGCAAACATACCTGCTAAACATCAGCATGCCAGCATTATCATTGCGGGCATGTTAACATGCTGACATTAGTTACTGCCTCAAAGCTCCACAGAGATGAAAACAAGGCTCTTAGTCGTCTTGTTTTCACTTTAACTGTTGCTTATTTGTCTCAAATACTTCATGTTTTGAAGGAATTTAGTGTTTTTCAGGGATTTTACATGGTAGTTTACTTTTCTGTAATAAAGTCAAAGTTGATGTGTGTGTGGCATGTGTTTGTGCGTCTGGGTGTCTAGAGGCTGACCATCCCCACCAGCTGTCCAGCAAGTTTTGCAGAACTGATGAGGAAATGTTGGCAAGCAGATCCAAAGGTAAGCTAAACTGACTGACTGGGGAGTTAATGGGTAACATCCTGTAAATGGTTCATAGGGGCCGCTTTAATGCGTCTAAAGATGCTCAGGATATCTTGTGTTCATGCACGTACACCTACAGGAGCGTCCACAGTTTAAGCATGTGCTGGTAACCTTGGAGACGATGGCTAATGACAGCAGGCTGCCGGACCAGTGTAACTCCTTCCTACACAACAAGGACCAGTGGAGGTACACACACAGAAACACACACACACACACACATGCAGTCTAGTTGACATGAGTGAAGTGTCTTCTGTCATTTTTTAAGTGTCTACAGTCAGGTGTTGTTCTATTGTCAGTTCGAGAAGAGCAATCTGTGGTTTACTGCATGGACACACACACACACACACACACGCATACATACATACATACATACACAGCTCAGTGGACTCTGACGGTCAGGACAGAAGTTGAATGTGTGACCCTGTACTCTACTTCAGTCTATATTAAGCTCTCTGGAAAGTGTCCATGGAAGAGATTCCTCTACTCCTCCACTCTGCCCTCACTCCACCACGGGGGGAGAAAGACAGAGGGGTGGGGTTGGAGGAGGAGGAAGAGGAGCAGGAGGGGTGTTTATGTGTGTGTTGTTAGGGTTTTGAGTGGTAGAGGAGATATCAAATATGAGTCGAAGAAGAGGAGAAGTTGAGGGAGGAACATAAAATGTATTGTGTGAGTGTGAAACAGTAAGCGACGGTGAGGATAGTGGGGAAACAAGAGTGGACAGATGACAGCGGGGAGGAGGGGAGGGTGGGAGACAGAGGGGAGAGACAGGGAGAGAGGTGGGCGATGGACCAGAGGAGAGAAGGTGCGAGATTCTGAGCATATTTAACATGAGTACAGCGAGGCAATCAATTCTGAGTGAAGTTTTGGGTACGGGTGGAAAAAGTTGGACAAGGAGGGAGGAGGCAGAGCGAAGGAGGTGAAGGGGCGGGATGAATGAACGGGGGGGAAGTATGGAAGGAACACAGGAGGGAGGTATGGCCGTGCGTCGGATCGGTCTATATTTAGTTGCTGTGAGTGTTGATTGTTTGTGAATGCAGGCTCACGGACAATCACCCACAAACTCCCACAGTGACCTCTTGTGGAAGCAGACGGTACTCCGGCAAAAACAGTTTCCTCTGATGTGTGGGGGAAAAATAAACCGAAAGCAATACTGTGATCTATAGGAAATGATAAGGTGCTTATTCTGAAACGGGTCAGATATGTTGCCTCGTGATGCTGCCAATGTGTCAGAGCTGCAGCTTTGCTTTAGAGGCCAGTAATTGGAAACTTTGACCCAATTCCGCTGCATATAGAAATTCTTTTTTATGTAGGAAAGTGACAAAATCAAGTCGCTCAAAAAAGTTGCACGAAAGAAATGAAAATGATGCTGGCAGAAGAGTGCTTTTTGAATAAGTAGTTCATTTGAATTTTGCAGAATATTTTTAACAAAACATGCATGTGGTTGTGAAATATTTATTCATTTCACTTTCCTTGTTCTGAGCAGCTTTTTAAAACTTCATCTGTCACTTTTTGAGAAGTTGCTGCGTAAACTAGGCCAAATCTGCATGTAATTAGTCACGACGGATCACTGATATTTTCCTTGTATGTGAATACTACAGGTGTGAAATTGAGTCGACCCTGGAGCGCCTCCGGAAGCTAGAGAGGGAGCTGTACTCCAAAGAGAAGGAGCTGGAGGAGAGGGAGAGGAGGCTCAGACTGTGGGAGGAGAGGCTGATGGAGAGGTCCAACATGTCTCCCAGTCCCACCTCCCTACTCATGGAGCGCTCAAACATCTCACCAGTAAGCACAACTAAGCGCTAAAACCAAAATGAGCTGATACCTTTTTAATGATTTTCTTCATCCGCTTCTCTTCTGTCTCCATCAGTTCTTCACACCGATGTCCATCGGTTCGTCCGGCTCTTTCTTCCGCTCCCACTCTCAGGACTCCAACAGTGCAGGGGTGAGCAGTGCTGGTGTCAGCTGCCTCCTCCGCACCCTCAGCAACGGGGACACCGAGAGGGGGAGCAGCGCGGTGCTGGAGAGGGGGATGGGTTCGCTCGACGGCGGGAGGCTGCACGCCATGCTCCGAGGGTTGCAGGGGAGGTTCGGAGAGGAGGAAGAGGAAGAGGAAGGAACCGTGGAGGAGAAAAGCTGGGGGCAGAGGGACAAAGAGGATAGCGGGAGTCTGGAGGGGGGGCGGGTGCAGGTGACGCTCAGGAGCTTCCCGGGAGGCGTAGTGGAGAGGGAGGAGAGGACGTGGGAAGAGGGGGACAGGGAGAGGGGAGGGATGCAGAGGAGCAGGGTGACCACCATCGTCAGAGGGTTCTCGGGTGGGTTCGGAGAGGCGGAGGGGGAGAGGGAGAAGGAGGAGCAGGGTGACCACCATCGTCAGAGGGTTCTCGGGTGGGTTCGGAGAGGCGGAGGGGGAGAGGGAGAAGGAGGGAGGATGGGAGATAGAAAAACTCGGGGACAGGCTAGAGGAGAGAGGGATGGAGGGAGCGCTGGAAGGGGGGAGGCTCCCGACCATGTTCAAGGGTCTCCATGGCAGTATGGGGGGTTTGGGGGACATGCTGTCCTTAGACATGGATGAGATGGGGGAGATGGAGCGACTAGGTGACATGGACATGAACATGAACATGGGCGACCTGGGCATGATGAAGGTGGTGGGTCGTGGCGTCAGGAGCGAGCTGGGGGTCAGGGGTCGCAGGAGTGACATGGGAGTCGTAGTCCAGGGAGTCAGAGGCGATGTCAGCGAAGCCATCAGCCAAAAGATCAGAGGCGAGGTGGGCGTCATCGGTCACTCCGGGGTGCAAGTGAGCATGCGGGCGTCGTCCAATCAGAACTCTGTGAAGAGCTGCAGCGTGCGACACGGAACCAAGATCAACATGGCTACAGCGGCCATGGACGTGATGGAGCTCGACTGGTCCGACAGCGACTAGAAAACACACGTTAGCAGACACATGCGACACACGCACAGAAAACACACATAGACAGACACACAGAGGCCAAACTAGAATGTTTGACTTGTTAGCACGTACAGTATCTGAGCTACAGTATGTGCAGTACAAGCTCCAGTTCAAAAAGCTGGTATACACTCATTTCTTTTTGTTATTTTTTTTTTTAATTAAATGGATGATTACTACACCCATGTGTACTGTGAAGCAAGAAGGAGCAAAAAAAAAGACAATTAGAAGTTGTCTTGTCATGTTGTCAGAATGACTTCACCTGTGTAATTTAATGTGCTATTAAAACTGCTGCATAACATACTGTAAGAGGTACAAGTGTTACAGAATAACACACTTGAATGTCGCTCTAATGAGGCAGCACTGTCTATTGTTTTTTTCCCCTGCTTACAGAGCATCTTGTAGTTTGTAGATTTGATTTGTTGAAAACATGCTTTGACTTTATCAGTTCTAACTGTGATCTAGTGTGTGAATTTTTGGCATTTCTTTCTGTATATTTTATCATTTTTCAATAAAAAAAGAAATCCGATTTCATTCCATCATTGATTTTGCTCTGCTAGGATTAGCCTCCGTCCTCCAGTACTTGTACATGTTGACCTGTATGTAAAATATTACATAATGAACAACTTGAATAACTCGTAAGTCCAAAAAGGACGTCAACACAGTGGGGGACCAATCTTTTTAAACACCTGGTACCAACATACTTGCCAGATATAAAATCCCTCTCAACTCATGACCTCTAAACTCCCCCTCACACACTGAGCAGCAGAGCCACTCCAGCCAACACCCATTTGGCAGGCCGCTCCCTGGTTTTAAGGCTAAAAGTCCAAACATATGTGGGTCCTCTGATCTTGGTCTTGTAGAGCGGACACTCGTAGATATTCCTGGTCTCCTGGCGGTCGTTGGGGACGGCTCTTACAGAGATGACGGGCATGGCTGGGGTCAACTCTTTGAGCCGGGCCTCGGTGATCACCCCAGTCTGAGTGTCCCATCTCGCACCTTCGGAAGGTTACAGGTGAAAAGGAGAAGAAAGAATAAGATATTAAAATTTTAAAAGAGAGACTAACCTTGTGCAGCTATTGGAACTGATTCACAGAGAGGGGACAGTTTGGAGAAAGTATTTTGCTCAGGAATCAGACTCAGGGCCTGTCAAACAGCACCACAATAAAGAGCAAATAAAAGATGAAGTTTGTTTACCTTCCATGTAAAGTCCATACACATATGCGCCCTCCCTGGCCGGCTGGTTGAACTCCTCCTTAAACTTCTTGGTCACGTCCACTGTCAGATTCACTTTGTCCAGAGGCCACTCGTTCTTACGCGCCAGAGACTGCATTACAGCTGGAAAAGCAAGGACACGAGGAAAAGACCGAGAATTAATGATGTGTGGACCAACAGTGGAGAGAGAGGGAACACTGTATGTCTTGGTAGAACTGTTCTCTGTATAAACAAATGTGTGTTACCAGTGAGGAAGGACTGTGGATTAAACAATCCGGAAATCCAGACAACACTGGGCAGAGAAAGGTCCTGAGTCCAGCTGTCCAACTCTTTACAACGCTGCATCACATCATTGTACCTGAACAGAGAAAAGACAGCTGTTTGGGTAAAAACAGCAACTGCATTAGATGAAGTAGACTTATCATTTACTATCTGTTATGTCTAACAGCACAGTATTTCAAGCGGCTCGTCCAATTTTTTGGACTTAAATACAGTAGCTTATACACAAAGCAAAACAAAACCTTGATTTAGGTCATCTAATCATCACATTTTTGAAATTACACCATTCAATCACACAAACTGATGCACACACCAGACAGAGAGGCTGTAGGTAGAGGGGTAGGCCAGCTTGGTCCAGGTGTCGGGGACGTTATCAAAGAACAAGGCCGTCTGCAGCTTCTCCATCTCAGAGGACATGGCCAGTTCACCCTTTGACAGAAAGAGCTATCAGTCTGAAAGCGCTACATGTAGCAAATTAACATCAGTGAAATGTGATCACATTGAATTTTAGTCTAATTATTGTCTCAAACAGCTGCTAGCAAAACAGGAAAATCACTTTATTCTATTGTGCATTTTTCTGGGAATATATGACTAAAAAAGACAAAGGATGTTACTGGATATTCATTTTGTCAACAGTATGTGCTTTTTCATGCCTCCATGTTTATGCATCCTCCAGACAAATGGGGCGGCCCCCGAAAGACTGAACAATAATTGATGAGGGGAATCTTTTTGTTTTGTTTGGTTGTGTGGTTGCAGGACAAAAAAAATTAGAAGAAAGTTCAATATACGTGAATACGCTCACTCTCGAACAGATCTTATCCTTTACACAGCTGATCTTTGTGGTTTTCGGATAGTGCTTTTTTAGTCAGTGCTTTTGTTGGGCAGGAAATCCAAAGACTGGGATCATTTCAGAGGCTAACTCAGGCTAACTCAGGGTTCATGATCTCCTGTGCACCATGAATTGCTGGCACACAGAGAGGGCAGGTGAAGAGACAGACAGAGCTGGAGAAAGCTTGATGGATTTCCTGACAGTCCACTGATTCAGCAGCCAGGAGTCTTTTGTAAAGGGAGGCTGGGATGAATCAGTGACACACTGATGGCAGCATTAAAGACGGATCCTATAGTTTCTGTAATTACATACCCAGAAGAGGCTGCGCTGAGGTGCATTATATGATTAGTCTAATTAAGAAAATGTTCAGTCGTCTTGCTGTCTTTTCAGAAACAGTCAGACTCATTACCCTTTCCTTTTTTTGACTCGTGTCGTGTGTGTGCTTGTAATGTTTGTATTTTAGATGCTCAATATTAGCTGCAGTTTCATAATTCTCTGTAATGTAGCAAAGTGTTAACATGATCCTACTTATAACGTTCACTCTTGACCATGGAAATCAAATTATTTACTGATGCCCTCTAAAAATCTATTTCAACAATTAAACAAATGTCGTAATCTATATACTCGTCTGTAACAGCTACCTACTGTCTGTCTGTCTAGTCAGACATAGAACTAATCTCACAAAGCTGTGAAGCTGTGGACTTCAGTGTAACGAACGAACATACAAGCACACAGAGGAATAAGCCCACCTTGAGTCCAAGGTCAAGCTCCTTCAGCGAGCGGCGTATCTCGGAAATGAGTGTGTTCATGCGCTCACATTCCTGGAAGCAGACCAGGATGTATGGGGATCGTTCAGCCGTCTTGGAGGTGATGTCGGACATATTGTACTCCTCTGGCAGCTTTTCCAGCACTTCATCTAAAATAGTTTTTACCTGAAGGAGGGTGGAGTTAGAAAATGATCAGAGCATAGAAAGAAAGTTCATGTTCGCTTTTCTCTCTACTTTATTTCTCCTAAAACTACGGAAGTAGAGAGTGGGTGTTGGAAGTGTTGCTAAATAAATGTGCAAACACTGGATGAATGAACACAGACAGCATGTGTGCCTGTATCTTTTCCATGTTGTTTTGGGTTAATACAGATACAGTGTTGAGTCAGTTAATAAAAAGTAAAGTTTCTCAATTCCATTCAATAAAAAAACAACAGTTAATCCCATATAGGCATTATTCAGTGTGTGGAGCTACCTTCTCCTCCAGCGTCTGAGACGCTCCCTCCCCCATCACGGCATCAGGAGACTGCAGCTCCAGCAGAGTGTGAAAGAGGTTATCTGACGTCACTGTCAAGAACTCAATTTCGGCGTTGGGGTGTAACCCGTAATGCACCGGGCTCTCATGGGGCAGCATCTCATCGATGAAATCATGGTAGCCCTGGGGATGCATCATGACCCATTTATTTACCAGTCAGGCATGTTTAGTGTATAAGCTGCCCTAATGTTCTCTTATCTTTTCACTGATTGAACATGTGTCTATTTCACACTAGATAATTGCACGACATTAGCGAGCTCTGACAAAAAAGGTTAAACTTCAAGAAAATGATTCGTCAACAATATCTACTTCAGCTTACCTTGTAGTCCAAGTTGGAGGGAACGACAAACCCAGGTGCCAATGAAAGCTTCCGGTCAAACTAGGTAATAAAAAGAAATAGAGAGAGGAAGGATTGTTAGCTTTAGGTCTCAAGCACAAAAACATGAAATTATTCCATCCCAGGTGGCCAACACTCCGTAGTCTAGCGCACCTGGTTGCCAGACACTCGTGCCAAAATATTCAGCTTCTGAGCTTTCATGGGAAGTCTGGCCAAAAACCGGCCAGTCTGCTGCTAACTGGAGCTGAATTTCAGCCCAAAATGGCCCAAGCCTGCACTAGAAAAGCAGTTCAATCTGGCTACCATATAATGTCTGCACAGGAGCCAGTTTTTGTTTGGCAGAAAGCAACCGAATGTGCCGACACACTAAAGCCCCGTTTATCTTTCTATCATACTCGCACATACAGACCTGGTTGGGCTGCATGTATTCCTCCAGGTACGTCCTGCAGAGCCGTCTGTCCCAGTCGTCAGTGATGTGTCCTCCATACATGATCTCCCCAAACAGATACCTCAGGTCCTCCCATGGCACCTTCAGCATCATAATAATAAAAATCACTGCCAGCCAGTACAATCACCACCTTCATCAGCTTCATCATGCTGCAGCCCACCCACTCACACATCAGTCGCCAACAGCACAAACACAGCCCACCTGTGCATTAGCTTCCAGGTAGTTGTAGAGGACATTAACCGATATAGTCAGGTCTCCGGTGTTGAATGGATACTTCCTGTTCCAACCCTGTGGTCCAAACTTCCTCCTTTCTGCCACACAGGCATGAAAGTAGCACAGAGAGAAGAGGATGGTTTTAAACTCCTGCTCACGGCTGCACTGGTCCAGGATGTCCTAGAGAGGAGCCATATGAAATGAATGAATAGGCTGATGAAGAAACAATATATACACATGTACTGCTCGCACAAAGTCAAAAAAACTCACCTGGTCAAAGTTATCCAGAGCAGCATGGAAATTGGCATGCATGCCTGTAGGAGGTTCATTGGTGATCTTGATAGCATTTTCCAGAATGCCCTGAATAAAACATGTAAATAAAAATATTTACATCTGCACTTAGTGTCTATAAATACAGAACAGTGATGAGCATTGCAGGAGAAATACGTGACTAAAGTAAAGAAACACTGTAAATTATTTTGAGTTTGTTTAGCTTAGAAATGTACGTTTCTCTGCTGTCTTTAAGATGCGAGGTAATGCATTGTTGTTAATTAATTAGTTCAGAGTCTACCGGTGTAGGGACTGACTATTAACCTTTGTCATGGTTAGAATTGTTTTAAATTATTATGAAATGAAACAACCATAACTTGATTAAACTTGCATTGAAGAGACACAACAGGTTTCCGCCATGACTGTTATCTGAAACTATAAAATGTAAGAGTCTCTGGGGAAGTGTAACTCTCTAGCAATGCTTCCTGGAAAGTCTGCATATATGCAAGTTTTGTTTCTTTTAACTTTGCTCTTTCAGCTCATCATTCTAAGTCAAAATGCCTCAAGTTTTTATAACTCAAGCTTTTAAGTTGTAAAGCAGTCTGAAAATAAAAAGACATCTTAAGTTTATCGAAGCAGAAATGACCAAACTCATATACATTACATATATGAAACAAACTAAAAAAAAAAAAGAAGAAAGAATTAATTCTCTTATGATATTTTACAGTGGACTTTCATAATGTGTATGTGCTTGACACTGAGATGAAGTGAGATAACAGTACCTGTGGGATAATGTGTTCCTGGGGTGTAGACGTTGGTTCTGCGCTCATAAACACTCTGTAGTCCGGATGACTGTCTTCACAGCAGCGCTCCAGGAGCTTCTCAAGCGCACCCAGCCAGCGAGCAACCAGATGGATGTTCTGCAGGGAAATGGATGGGAAAGACATAATTAAAAACTCATTATAGCATACACAACAGAACACAAAGTAACCAATAGCAAATATACAATTTAAACACTAATATCGGAATGAAATTAATAAACTGTACATTGTCAACTATTAAAATCCTGAAATTATTTTTGGATTGTATTTATTCAGAAACTACAGGGATTGGCTTTCAGTCAGATATTTCTTGCCTATGATGAAATATGTGCTCTCTCTATCCAAACATTCAAGATAAAACCATTTTTCTTGCAACCAGACCTGCAGTATGACCCAGTGACCCTCCTTGGCAGCCTTTTCCATGGCAATTTCAGCCACAGTTTCCTGTCCCTGACCCAAGGAGACGTTGTGAAGCTTCCCAAGGTCAATAGTAAAACCCAGCTTCCTTCCTGGGAACAGACAGGACTGATTTTTTTTTTTATATGTTCACAGAGTTAAAAAAAAAAAATCTCCTTTAAAGTCCAAAAATGACTAGACCCTTTGTGATTACATTGTAGAACTCTGTAAAACATTCTTTATCTGCACTTATCACACTCATTGTTTCTATAATCTACAATTTCTGTCTCTCTAACAACTCTTGTATACAGTTATTACATTTTTACGGTGCTATTGCTGCATTGTAAAGCAGTGACTGGGACACTTATTTGATCACTTCGCATGAATATGGAATGAAGGTAGTATAAGTATATGATGATGTGTTTGAGTTTGCGTGAACAGTACCCAGCGATTCCACATCTTTAAGTGGGTCCACTCCGGGAGAGAGAATGAAAAACACAGGAGAGGCTGGACCGCTTTCTCTGAAGGACTTTGCAAAGTCAGTTTTTCGGCCTTCTGTATACTTCACCCCGAGCTTCTCTTCCACAAAGTTCCTATGGTAGGCCAACGGGGAGAGGGAAGAGCAGAAATGGCATTGGTTTGAAAAAAAAAAAAAAGTGTCAGAAAGGTGGATGGCTGAAAAGATATAATAAAGATATAGTTGCTCAATAATAAGTGAATAAAAGTACATACTATGAGGTATGGACAAAATAACTTTCATCACCTAAGAGCATAGGTCATTCGGTCGGGTCTCAATGCTCTCATCATGATCAGTTTCTGCAGCGAACTTTTTCCCTTCCACTCCTGAGGAAACTTTTCCTTTTCCGGACACCCCGACTCCACCAGCTTCTTCCAACGCTTGGGTGAACCTTCGATGTCCCGGTCCAGACCACGAAACTCATCAGTAAAACTCATCACCTGGGCAAAAACGAGGGACAGCAGGTGGTGATTTGCAGTGCAATTTGTGTACAGGCAGCAAAAACAGCCTGTGCGGATGTGTATGTGCTTGTGAACCTTGATGGCGCTCCACGCTGGGTTGGAGAGAAAGTCAAGGGGGCTGTTATAGCTGTGGTCAATGTTGAAACGTAGCAGGAAGTCGAGCTCTCTCACATCTATCTCCTTGCTCATCAGCAGCAACTAAAAAGAGAGAACCCAGTCAGGGACAAGACACAGTCTCTCTCTGACACTAACACAAACACCTACACACCTGGAAGGCCAGCTGTGCAGTAAAGGTGAGCTTGTCTCTCTCAAACAGTCCCCTGCTGATGTAGTTGAAGGTGGAGTACGTGACGCAGTCTATGAGCGTGTTCACTCGGCTCTGTACATCCTCGCTGGCCTCCGCCATCTCCACCGCTTTGTGGAAAACAACGTTAAAGGCCTGAGAACAACAGGAAGAATTGATTTGTGAGATGTAATTGTTTAATGACAAATTACAGCAATGCTCTCTGTGCTTTGAAGCGCTTAGGCTGCAAGTTTATATGCACTTCTGCCTCCTTTAAATCGAATTTGTAAGTTCCCAGGCCGAGTTGGCTCCTTGTATTCTGCTGTGGTTACCTTCAGGCTGAACTGGTACATGGGGTTGATCTTGTTGAGATCATTCATGATGAAGTAGAGCAGAGAAGCTCTGACGGCGACCGGGCGATAGTGTTCTCTAGCTTCGTTTATCTTCACTTCATTAACTTTAGCTTCCAGAACCTAAAAACAAGGGACAAAGAGGACAGACATAAAGGTGGAGAATAAGAGAAAAAATATACTGAGGGGTAAAAGTCACTCCAATATTCCACTCATGTCATTACAACTGAGCATGCCGTTGCCCTGTTACCTTCATTTCAATCTCGGCAGCAGTGTGCTTCGTTGTTTCAAGCTTCTCCACCAGCACGTTGTCACCGAGGAAGTTACTCTCTGCAGCGGACAGCCTGGTTAGCAGCTCGTCCTCGAGAAGCTTCAGCTCAATCTTAAACATGTTCTGCTGTTTTGTCAGTTCGCTCTGCAGGAAGAATATGAAAACAAATCCGAAAAAATGAACTAAAACTGTGAACGTATTACATTTAGTCATTACTGCTTCTATGATACACTTTAGCACGGACACACATATGTTTGCTGGAATAGAAGTTTAAGAGCATGAAGTTGTAAGACATATTTTTGATGTAGTACGAGAGGAACCTGATAAGGACCCACCTTAAGGTGCTCGAGGTCTGGTCTCTCCTGATTTACCACCTGGGCTAGAAGCTGGTCCTCCAATCCGTCCCTGGTCACTGTAAAATTGATGAGGGTGGTTTGTGCTTGAATCTCTGGCTTGTAGTGAGGATTCGCCAGCTTTGTGTGGAGAATCAGTCTAAAGCCTGGGTGGAAGAAGCACTCTTTGTCCCCGACCTTTATACAGCTGTGGCAGCAGGACAGAGAGAAAAGCAGAGGGTGGAGGATGTTACAAAACTGAAGAGAAACAGATGGTCAGCTTTTTAAAAAAAAATTTTTTATACACATGCCCACTTGTGTTTCTGTTTGTTACCTGCCCTTCTTGATTGTGTATCGCCCCAGCAGTGGGTCAATAACAGGGTCAATGGTCTCCTCAAGGTTCTCAATGAGGACAGTGTCTCCTGCTACTACAGCCTGCTCAATGACGTCTACATATCTGGAACAACATTAAACATTAGTAGATTAAAAAATAAAAATAAAAAATGACAATTACACAAATAATGTCAATTCCTCCACAGTGATAAACTAATAACACACCTGAAAAGCAGGAGGAAAAGTTTATGGTAGCGGGTTTATGTTATGTCAGAACTTTTCACATTAACAGCTTTCCCACATAGAAAACTAAATGTGTCAAGATTCAAGATTCAAACATGTTTTCCTGTCATATGAAATTCTTTCTTTACAATCCATTACAAATGCAAATCAATACAAATACAGAATAGATAAAAATAAAAAAGATAAATAAAGGCAATGGACTGTACAAAATAAGCAGTAAAACATCAGCTTTATGTGCAATTGTATGTACATTTATGCAGAATGTGACGGATATAGTGGACAACACCATTTCAGGTGTTGTAGAGATTTCTTTTGAACACCTGAGATGGTAAAAATGGAAACACTTACCCTCTCTGGCCTAGACTGACAACCTTGAGGCTGTTACCATAGCGACTTTTGATCCACTTGATGCCCTGCAGCTGAGGGTCGATGAGGAGAGGCCAGCGCTCACCTGCAAAGACACACACATTACCTACACGTGGAGATTTGCCAGCATAACAAAGTAAACCTTGTGCTGTACTATTTGTTCTGATAGTAAGAAAGAGTCTGTTGCCACCATGAAAAGATGACGGATGTAAAACTACTCCTTACAGTTAGTGAGGATGGTCGCATTCTGAGTGGACATTTTGTCTCCTGGTAAGCCTTCGTTGTTCCACTGAGCCACCATCGCGTCGTCAGTCAACATCGACACTGGATCCAAGCCTCCTGTCATGGGAATGGGCATCTGATGAAGACAAACAGAGGTGTTTATTCATACAGATGCTGGTTAACATTGAAATCTAACGTTAGCCAGCTGTGGAAGGGACAGACAGTTAAAGGAGTAACTGTTGTAGGAGAATATTTCACTGGTTTCACGACTGTAACCTTCTGGGTGCGCAGGAACGGCATCCACAAGTTGTCCAGCAGCTCTCCCCTGTACTTCTTGGAGAAAGAACCAGCATAAGAGATGAAAGCTGCAGTGAGGAGGACATCCCCGCAGAGAGTTTCCTCCTGTTCGTGATACTGAGCCACAGAGTGGGCCCAGCGCACATTCTCACTCTGAAATAAACACACAGAAACATACAATCGCTTTGGGTGTTGCACAGGAAACAGCCTTTTACCTCCAAAATACTTCAGTGTAATCAATGCATAAAAGCAGACAAAAGTTAGTGCCAAAGTGGGCCAAACCACATTTACTAGTTTTGGAGAAAAATGGGGTCAGAATTTTGTGTTGCTAAAAAAAAATCCTGGTTGTTGGAGGAGTCATTATATGCATCCAAAGATGTTTCAGCACTGTCCAGAGATAGAAACAGCTGCTTTGTGATGACTTATTTTTTCTTTTGCTGAGTGCCAAAGTGGGCCACACCATATTTTCTATTTTTTGAGAAAAAAAACTGATTCAAGGTTTGTCTTGCTAAACAGAATTGAAGAGTTTACCTGGGTCATCATACAGAACGAGACATACTTTTGAGGACCACTGGGTAGAAATAGATGCTTGGTGGTGGTTAATTAAGTTTTTGTTGTATCTTATCATACCTATGAGTTGAGTTTTCACGGGGCTGTCCGCTGTCTTGAATCGCAAACATGTGTGACTACCTGCACCTATGATATAATGCTCAGCGATTCCGATGGCTTGGCCCAGTTTGCCACTAAATTTTCATGCCAAAACCATTATGGGCCAAACCTCAAAGTCGCATTGTGACATTACTAGTGGGCTGCTGGTTGGACCGCTTTGCCACAAACTAGTAGACTATAAACACTTATCAAAAAAAACATAAAACTGAACTTTGTATTTTTTGTGGTTTGGCCCGCTTTGACACTGAACCCCTCATATGGTCACAAAAATGAATGAAAATGATCCGTTACCAGCTGTTCAGCCCACCTCTAGTCCTTTGACCAGCCGATTGGCTAGTTCTATTGTCTTGTTGGTGCGGTTGACCTCTTCCTGAAAGCTAAGTTTCTCTGACGTGGCTTTTTCAAATGCTGTTGTCAGGGTTTCCAGACTACTATCCAGTTCCTAAGAAAGAAGAGGAGAGGAACAGGCACAAATATAATGACTTGTGGCTGTTCATATTCTGGAAGTATTTCTTACAAACAAGACTGTATTATGTAGTATGGGACCTGACAATAATGTAATGAAACTAAATATTCCCCTGCATACTAAACTTGTTCACTTAAAAGGAGGATTTAACTACAAGTTGTTCAACAAGCTAATAGAACGCTTCAAGGAATAATTAAAATTGTACAGAAATTGCTGCAGGACGAGGAAAAAAGTACACATTAACCGGCCTGTAAAAGAATCATTGCCACCAGCAGTCAGAGTTGTTGAACTTAACAAAAAGCAGCAGCAAAAACGTCAGTGAAATGCAAGTGGTTGCTATTGTTGTAAATAACAACCAGTTCATTTTGTTGTCTAACAATAAATAATGAATCTGCAGTATTTTTTCCTGCATAGAGAATTTTTTGGGGTGTTAGAAGTTTTCACTGACTCAAGCAAAATAGACATTTTTTGTTGAATTCAATCGTCAGAAATAACAGAAAAACATATGCATTTCTGTCAGAGAAGCTAATGCAGTGCGTAGTCATCACCTAAAGCCCATTCTGAGGCAGGAGAAACCCTGATATACAAGTAACGGTAAAACTAACATAAGACAGAAACAATGATGTCATCAGACTTACAGCAAGTTTCTTCCTGATGACCTCGAGCTTCTCAGCAGCTTCGGCCAAATCAGCGTTAGCCTGAGACAGACACATCCTCTTCATCTCCACCTCGCAGAAAACCTGGAGACATGCACATTCCGTAATGATTAGTCGTTATCGTGAATATCACCAACAAAAACCTACAGACTGGAATGCAGCTCATTCTCACGAACACATTCATGAAATGTTACACAAAATTCCTTTTTAAAATTGTACAAATCAAGACAGCAAAGTAGAAATATACTTACAAAAATCTATCCAAGGCAGCATAAGTGTCGGGGAGAGGAAAATAAACGTATGAAATCCAGAACAGTGTGCTGTACAGTGGAAAAACATCACTTAGGATTAGCATGGGTGACGTTAAATATATGTGACAGCTGGGCGACATGTGCGCACCTCATGGAATCGTACGATGTTGATCACCCAGGAACAAAGCCCCGCGGCGGCCGAGGATTTCTGTCGCACAAAATCGGGGTTGAACTCCGGGTCGCTGAGGTACTCGTCTCTCACGCACCTCACTGTGGCCTCGGGGATGTGCTCTTTGTCAAAGTTCACCAGGGCCTGCAGGAAGTCATCCACCTGGAGGTGCATTTGTGTGCAAAGGTGTGTGTGTGTACGCGGATTAGATAAAATGGTGTCACAGTCTCCAAGTATAAATATCCCTGCAGGCTTTTTTGGATTCTAAATCGTGAGCGGGAATAAGGAAGTAGAATAAAATAAAAATGCAAAGCTCTGTAGCCTAATGTATCGCAGTGCTTCTTTAAACCTCTTTTTTCTTTAGTTTTATCTATTACAGCCGCACTGAGATGAAATAGGAGCAGAGCAAGGAAGGAAATGACAAAATACCAGCAGTCATCGCACACTGCAAAAAATATAAAACAGTCACACTAAAAATGAATATTCAATTTTGAGTTGTTGAAGAAAAAGTAGCAAAATTGCAACAAATCATTTAAAAAGTAAAACATGTTATTTCAGCAGTTTAGGGGATTTATCTGTGATGGACTTTTTTGGCTTCGTTGAATTCAGCCATTAATCAACGAAAAACCACAAGACATCGCTGTAAAATATCACCTTGCTCATGACCATCTTGGAAGCTTTCCAGCTGCGATCTTTGGGGATTCGGCCTTGGGGAGCCAGTAGCACCAGAACAGCTGCTGAGACGTTGGTGACAATAGCTGGAGGGTTGGGAAACGTCCTCAGCTCTGTCAGGTTCAGCTGGATCACACAGAAAATCACACGCACGCACGCACACACACACACACACACACACACCCACCCACACACACACACACACACACACACACACACACTTTGAATTAGGTGGCTGGAATGGAGACAACCTCGTAACGTCTCTTTCTTTTTCTTACGATGGACATATAAAACAAGCTGAATGCAATAAAATAAAACGAATAAAACACGCTGAAAGGATTCAGGTCCCTGTATTTATGTGTTTTACCCTGTTGAGTGTATTGAGGGCTGTGTTTGCTGCCTGTAGGGCAGGTTCAGCCTTGGCCAAGTCCTCCTCGGTCTCCTGCTGCTGTTTGGTCACTTCAGCCTGAATTGCTGCCACCTGAACAATCACAAAAAGATGCGTGAAGTCATCTGTGCACTTGAAATGGATTGTTGCCATTTTGGGTTATTTCTGTTCCATGTTATTACTCCTCTTCCCTGTCTTCCCTGTTGACCCTCTCATTGAGGAAGTGGCATTAAATGAACCTCAAAATGTGCAGTAATTTTCATAATACAGGGCTTCATGTCTCTTCTGTTGCTACTTGAGAGGCCCTAGAATCGCACACTCTTACCCTCTGCTCTTCAGCATCAGCAACAGCTCTCTCTTGGTTCAGCTTATCTGTCTGTTGTCCTATCTTAGCGATGAGAGCCTCAATGTCTGTGTTCCTCTGCCACAACTCCACCTCCTGCACTGCTAACTTGGCTTTGAGATCCTCCACCTGCAAAAAAGGTAAGAAAAAGAAAGCTCAGAAAGTTTACTCGTAGACAGTGGACACATAGCAAACTTTGACTTGCATTAGTGCCTTATAGAGTACATTTTCTAACCTGCGAGGCAGTCGTCTGCAGTTTCTGCAGTCCGTTCTCTAATCGTTCCATCTTCTGGGTCAGCTCTGTGCGTTTTTTTCCCAGTAGGTTGTCATACAGCTTCATGAATTCGAGGAAGCTCTTTGGAGTGGTGTAGTTGAAGTGCTTTTCATTCTGCTGGTACTTGACACTCACCTGTGTGGTGCAGTCAAACAAGTCACGTCAAAGAAGACGTCAAGAGCGATAATTGCTCACGGTGCTTTGCAGCGGCTCTCACCTCGTTGACACATGTGTGGGCGTAGGAGATGAACTCACTGATGGAGGCCCTCACTTTTGGCTGCACAGCATAAAGACACACATGGATTCAGGAAATGATAATTGTACTACTACTGATAGCAAATGTAATAGTGGATGTATTAACACAGACATACTTAATAATATCAATGATACAAATTTATTTAAGCCACACAAATACTGTTTAAGTCGTTCATACACATGGATATTACAAGTATGTATATTAGACTTTCTACTATTTGAGATACTTGTATAATTAGCACTATGGGTTCATGCATTTAAACCGTATTCAGTGTTAAAATGTATGTGTAACACTTTGTACATATGCATTTCAGCTCCCCTTAAGAGAAGTGTGTTGTTACCTCCAGTCCAGGTATCTTCTCTATGAACGTAGAGCTGACAGAGTGCAGAGCAAGCTGAGGCCAAGGGTGAAACCAATCAATGGCAGTGCAATTTACCAGAGCCGGAAACTTCCGTGCACGTGTGCGCAACGTGAATCCGACTGGAGAGAAACACAAGACCACCTGGATGATGGCGCAGGCGGTCGAAAAAGATTGAGATGAAGGATATTGTCGATATATCACACTTGTTGTACGGTTTAATATGAAATAATAAATCATGTTTCAGACCTTGAGCTGTCTTCGTATTCTTTCGATGAAAAAGCTCCAACAGTTGTCTCTGCTATCTATGAGTCCTAATCCCCTCAGCTCCATGCGGATCGATGTCACAATCATATCCACTTCTTCGTCGCTAAACAGGTCTGGAATATCCCCTAAACGACACAAACAATGCAAGCTCAGGGTGTGTTTGTTTCTGCTTTCAAGCCACAGCTGCTACCTGTTAGATTATTGATGTGTTTCTCACTCTCAGTTTTTTTCTTTCTTTCACAAAATATGTTTTAAGTATAAAGTATACAAACATCTAATTTGTGTGCCATCTTTCTACCATTAATACTATGAATGCAGCATCTCATTAGTGAAATGCATTAAAATTCTGTGACAAATTCTGGCGAGGACTGTTACATGTGTCTGTGTAAAATGTGCCATATCCGCTCTCTATTCAGAAACAAAACTCTGCAAAATGAGAAATTTTCACCCTGAAAACTGCTGTTGAATTTGTGCTCTCAAAGTCCTTGATACAGTATTCATGAGAAAAAATGTGCCAAAGAAAGCACACTCATTCCTTGGATTTCACATCAGTAGATTTTACACAATAAAGCAGAACTCCTGAACTAATAAAAAGAGAAGACACTCATCCAAGGTCAGTGTGACCAAACCTGAGGCCAGCATATCGTTGATGAGCACCAGGAAGCGTTCATCTGGAATCTGAGCATCTGTATGAAGGAACACTGTGCCGATGTTCTTCACTCCCACCTTTATGTACAATGCTGCGATGTCACTCTGTGGATGTGGGAGGCATCGAAGGGACAAGGAGGTATAGAATATAAAAATCAAAGAGGAAGTAGGAAAGAGAAGACATGAGCAATATTATACACGTCAAAGAAATAGTTATTGTGTCAAACATAAGCATCAACCCTCTTAATGACAACAGTGGAATGACATTTCATATCTGTTGTGCATTAGTGGATACATGGTTACCTTGAGGTCATTGATGCCATATCCTTTACGCAGCGTGATCTGGAAAACTTCCAGCGTGCTGAGGAAGGCAGCCAGTCGACACAAACTCTGCTTCCCGCTGCCACCCACCCCCACCAGCAGGGCGTTACCATAGGGGGCCTCCAGGATACGACTGATGCGACATCTGAGTGCAAACACTGGACTTAATGGTGTGTTTATTGTCTGTGGTTTACATTTGCGCTCATCTCTGTAAATCTTTTCTTTGGCCATGATAGCATGTGCCTGACTGTATATACATGTCTCTGTGTGTGTGTGTGTGTGTGTGTGTGTGTGTGTTACTCACACATGCTGGATCGCTTCTTCAAACAGCACCAGATCCATGACAGCGTGCAGCTCATTATAATGTTCCAGAGCATCAGCCAGTGTCTTCTGGAGTTTTTCCCAGTCTGAAGCCTGACAAGACAGGCAAATAAACTAATGAACCTAGCTCTTTTGAGTAAGACTAGCAAGTGTCCAAATCAGTATGTGGTGACATCCAGATATATAATGAAATTAAGTTACCCCAAATAGAAAAGAAAGGCAATCAGTTTGCTAATGATTGTGAATTCATCCTCATTTATTTCCTGAAGGATCAAACATGACAGCACAATTTGTGCCATTATGTCACTGAATATGCGAGCTACAGACAATCTACATACTAAACTGATTGAAGTCAAAAACATTTAAACTCACTCATTTTTATTATCACTGGTAATAAAAAAACAAATGGATGCTTGAAAGGAGCAACATTTAGTCCAGACTGGAACAGTTCTGGGTAGCTTTGGTGTGTATGAATGTGTCAAACCTGGTGATAGCGAGGCTCTCCCACTCCCTGGGCAAAGTGACAGTACACCAAAGGCTGGTGGATAAAAACGGACTCATCTATTCCCTGGAGCAAATTGGCAGAAACAGAAAAAAAACAAACATGAAAATACTGAACGGGGCACAGTCAAACTGTCCTTCAGTGGCTAAAAATATGCTGTATTATTTCACACAGGACATGCAGATTGCCTAGAAACATCACGCGTGCCATTTCTTACATTTTGTTGTCTGAAAAAAGAACATTTGGAATTTTTTAGATAAAGGTGTAGCTGTGTATTCTTTGTTTCTTACCTCAAAATATCTCTTGGCAGTGTCCAGCAGGATTTTATTGAAGAGTTCCACATCCTTTTCCTCCATCAGTTTGTCAGAGTAAACCCTGGAGCTCTCATGGAGCCACAGATGAACCAGGTCAATGGGGTAACGGATACTCTCTGGCAGGGCAAACAGGATGCCCTACACATTGGAGAGTAAATAATCATGTGATGAGATTACACTTGATGTTAACTGTTTATCTACTACATCAGCATTCTCACAAAACTGATAAATTTTCACAGGTCAGCTGCTATTATTCTTAAACTAATAACTTAAGATTTACTATGAAAATCATTAAACACGGTTACCCAGCACTAATTTGTCTAAGCATAGTTTTGCTGTTGTATTTTGGAAGACAGTGTACCACCTGGAATATGTTGGAGAGATCTCGCAGGTTAAAGATGTAGTGGAAGCGTATGGCTGTAGGCAGGAAGTTCTGACTGATTTTCTGGTGCAGACAGATAGCTGCCTGGATGAGCAGAACCAAAACATATTGACACAGACAAAATACATGAGACAAGGTCAAGGATATGGCGGTTGATAAATTGACAGACCAGTGTTTGCATGCGTAACACAAAAGAGCAAATTAGGTCTTGATGTAGACAAATGGTGCAGTGATGCTTTTATGTGCACCTGTATGAGAGTTCCAACTGAGCGAGACACTCCGTAGCTGAATCCTCCCTGAAGGAAATGAGCTGACAAGATGCTGGAGAAGATGGTAGCTAATGCATCAGCACTGGGGAAATGTACTGCAAACACTGAGAAATGTCTCTGGAATGGAGACAGGAAAAATGAGGAATTATTCATCACTAGGAGTCTATGTGGGTCCAAACTCAGATTTATATTTACACTTATAATTACTCTCTAAACCACCTCGGAAATCTTTCATTGAGCTAAATTTGGTGCGTAAATTGGCTATTTTTTCAACCGCTGATCTAGTTTATTCTGCGTTTATATATACAATAGTAAATGCATGGTTGAACGTGTCTAAAATGCTAATAAAGTAAAGATTATGATGAAAATTAAGGTGATGAAAAGAAGTAAGCAGTTTGTGCCTGTGTGCTGCCTGGACTTTACCTGCAGTCTGGGGTTGATTGAGAAGCTTCCAGCTGTTGGGTTCATACATGTAATATACTGGCAGTTATGGATTTCCTTCAATACCAACCGTTGTCTGTCGTACCTAAAACAATTGCATCTATTTACACTCAACTTAACCATCAAATTCTGTGTGACATCTGTATGTGGTGTTCAGTTAAAGAATTGTATATTTTAACAGTATGAAATCTTTGGTCTGGGTGTGTGTCCATTATGTTTGTCTTGTCTTACCAGTGGTTGTAGTCAAGGTGCTGGCGTATGAGTGTGTGTGGCTGCACAGTCCCATAACCATCCACCTCAGGCATGTTGAGGTCGTCTATGAAGTAGATGAGTCTCTTGGCGGTAGGAGGAGCAAATTTACGACCAGCTTTCTTCTCTAGAGGTTTCTCCAGGACACCTGAGGTCCATATAATGTGGAACACAGTTTCGGAAAAGCATGAAGTTTGGACAGTGTTTGCATGAAATTAGTCACTAGCAGAAAACGTGTGAATTGTAGAGTGATTCTCAGATCTGCACCAGAAAGGAAGAAATAAAAATACAAGGATAAATCAATTTCACTTGTGAATAAAAAAAAAGCTTGCATTGGACTGAAGGCCGTGTCATTTAGGCAGCATAAATGGGAAAATGCAATTAAGTACTACAACAAGCTGTAACCCATTGTGACACATAGTACATACATAAAGGCCTATTGATTTTGCAGCCTGGATTTTGCCCTTCATAGTGTTCTCAGGTATGTGTGTATGTCTATTTCACAAGGGTAAGGACATCGGAAAAAAATGAAAACGATCATGAAAAAAGAAAAATATTTTGTGCTTATTTCAGTGGTTCTTACGCTGCAGCATGGCTGATGTGGTGTAGTAGTTGAAGGGGACTTTGGTCACCATATAGTCCTCCTTCAGCTTGGCGACTTTATCAGACACCAGGATGGTTTTGCCCACTCCTGCGTTGCCCACTAACATGATAGGTTTGCCTCTCTGGAGCAGCAGATCCATAAAGAAGGTCAGACAGATTGTTTCTGGGGTGTGGACCAGCACCGTCTGAAAAACACATCACATGACTTATGTGGTTAATATAATGTACAGTGATTCCTGCTGGCTGTCGTCAAACACACACATTCATTAGAACAGTCACTCACCTGTAACGGTACATCAGACTCCAGCTCAAAAGGCACCATCTTCTCACTCCAGGGTACAAACTTTTTAGTCTCAGAGTCAATAAAATAGTCAAAGACGGTGCCCTGGGAAGGAAACTTCACGGCTCTCATCTCTTTAGACCACCAGCGGCTAAATTCGGCTCGGTGGTCATTCAGCTGAAATGGGTGTTGGGTAGACAAAACATCATAACCTGGTATAATAATCTCAGTTATCTGCAGGGTAAAATGCTAGTTAGCTCTGCATGCAAACATTTAGTCACCACACACATGATCCTGAAATAGAGCCCCTCCAAAAGCCCAGACGCAAGCGAAGACGAAGTAGATCTCATAAAGTTCTCTGGGAGAGTCAGCTGGAGTGTTTTCCTCCGTCAACAGGCAATCCAACAAGCAGCACAGAGTCTGATCGAGAAAAACAGAAATTCTACACCTCAATGGACAGTAGATAGCATCCAGTTTGAGAACAGCTCTCCCATGTGCATTTAAACCTATTGCACTTATTGATATACATAAGAGCATACCTGCACCATGCTGGTTTCTGGAATGGGAGTGATGGTTTTCAGGTTGCAGCGGACTTGTTCCAGGCAGTAGGGCACGTACTTATCAAACAAAATGGTGAGGTTGGCTCGCTCTGATTGGGCCTGTCGGGTGTCTATCCAGCTTGTCACATAACTGGGTACACAGTCACGACAGCAGTGCTGATCAAAACACAATATAAATTTTAAAGCAACATAATTAGTGTTCATGCTTGTGTGCATCTTACGAGCTCCAGCCGAGGTCCTGTGGGTTGACATACAGTATTCCCGCCCTGGAAACTGTAGCTGGAGTAGCAGCCTTCAGATGAGAGATCTCAAAGAGTAGACGCATGCTGGAGGACAAACTGATCCTCTCGTTACTGGCAAGAGTTAGAACCTTAACCAGGAGGGGAAAAATAGGATTGGCAGAGCTTAAGCATTGGCTAAAAGAAGCAAAATGCATCCACCCAGTGACTGGTAGTGACAAACATTAATATACAAATTCTAGTTTAGGCTTTAGGCCAGTTAATGTAAAAATTCTGTCAAACCCACAGATAAAAGACAAAATCCAGCTTCAGGAGAATGGAAACATGGCACACAAACCTTATTGTCATCCATAACTGTGTTGAGTGACTCGATCCACATAGGGTCAATATCCCCATCCAGAACAATCCATTTGGGTCCATCGTGGCCCACTGAGGTTAGTTCTCTCATAGTAGACGAGAACAGACCTAATGTGAAGTGAAAAGTAAAACATTCAGTAGTATAACAACAGGATTTTCTTTGGATTATTCTACTGTCAGACCAGCAGTGGGGCAAAAATAAAACAATAAAAACTAAAGTTATACTAAAGCAAATCCATGTATTGAAATCCTAGTAATATTATTCCATGTGAAAACTATCCAAACAGGAACTGACTATGAGCCAGAAAAAGTACTTTAACTCTCCAATTAATTCTGAGAACAGTCTGGGGAATAAATTAAACTCCCCCTTGATAGCGACCCAAAATCCGGAGGAAACAGGTTCTCTTGATCATCGCTTCTCACTCGTTAAATCGCTTGTATAATCCTCAAGGCCCTCACCGTCTTTCCACTCTCTGGTTGCAGGGTGCAGGTATCCAAACAACTCATCTGTGGTAACAGCTTTAGGATTAATATCATTCCATACCGGCTTCATCTTCATGTTTGCATAGGTCCTATGGAGCGTCTTCAAGATCTGGTAAATAACCATCACAAACGTACAACATGCTCTGTGTAATGTGTTTTTACAAAAGCAAACCCTCCATTGTCACTCGAGATAATCCATAGAAATGGTGTACGTGCATATGCAGTTTGCATTCATTGTCATTCAAAATAATACTGAGAATATTGATGTAGCAGGTATTACAGAAGCTAACCTGGCTCTTTCCAGTTCCCGGTCCACCTACTACAAACACAGAATGTCTGACAGCCAGCAGCTCCTCCAACTGGGTCACCTATAAACAGAGAAACATGGATGTCAAAATATCTCAAAGCACTCCTGAAAATATACTAAATAATATAAGTGTTAATTACAAATTTGCATTTTTCCCACACAACAGACTGAGATGTAGATTTTCATTTATTTTCCTACAGGAATTATGTTCTGCATGCTAATATTAGCAGCTCAGGACTAAATCCACCAGTGTAAACGATGAAGCGGTGATGAAGTGTGACATGTTTCTGGCACATACATTGTACATTATTCATTTCTTCCCAGCAAAAATATGCAAGCACCATTGTTAATATGCCACTGATTACAGTTATATTAATATTTAACACATGCAAAAAGTAAGAGGCACCTTAAGGATGAAATTTTCCTCGGGCTGCAGACGCAGCTCACTGACTGACTGGCGAACAGAGTTTTCTAGCTTAGGGTCTCTCTTCCTGGGTACGTCCAGCTGAGGAAACAGGTCACTGATCAGCCCAAGGAATATGGGCACGTCACTGGTCACTATCTTAGGCAGGTTGAAATCCCTCAGGGCCCGCATCAGCACCTGAGGAGAAAACAATGACATCATAGTTAGATGAAATGAAAAAACTCAAATTTGGGGAAACGGCAAGCCATATGACTGCACACAATTCTTTCAGATGTATGAGAGGTGAGAAACCTTAATGTCACACCTGTTCCTCTGGTCTACTACGTTCCTCTCTCTTCAGAGATCCAGCCACAACCAGGACTGATTTAATAGCACGTAAACCCCAATCATAATGATCCTAACAGATAAAAGAAAGTAAGTTATCTAAGTCACTCAAAGCATGAAAACGTCATGCAACTTTACACTGAACTGTTTTTGTTGTCATTGGTAGTATGGGACACTTACTGTGTATTAGCCTTATATAAACTGTGCAATCACATGTAGAACACTAGTCTGTCAGCATGACAATAAAAGGGACGATGATCCCTCTAAAGATTTTATTAGCTCAATAATATCCCTACTCTTCCCATCTCTTGATCTTTGACATTCACTTTTGCTTTCAGAAGTATTGACTTGTCCTAAAACAGCAGAAGGAATAGTCATAGTACATGCTATGCCCTTACAAGTCGGTTTACTGGACCTACTTGTTTGGACAGCAGCTCTTTACACAGAGTGTAGAGGCTGATGAATTTGCGTGCCAGCAGACGAGCATCTATGAATCCTTCAGCCACCAGCATAATCTCACAGATCAACTCAAAGTCTGGGATCACCATAGCACAGGGTCTGAACATCAACAGATTAACAGATAGTTATTTCCAACATTCATTAACTCTTGCATTCAAAGGTCTCCCCTTCCTCTTGTTAAATCAGACCTGAAAAGAGCCTTGAGGTTTTCCGGGAGCTCAGCTCTGCCAGCATAACCTGGGTTCAGAGTGATGAAGATTCCCACTGTTGACTTCAGTTCAATCTCCTCTCCCAGGAAGTGAAACCTACATGGACACATTAACAGTTACTGATTGCTAAGTGGGTGCTTAGACAAAACTCAGATAGGATTAGCAGACAAAAGAATGAATCGATAGAATGTATGGATAGGACAAAGTGCATTTCCACATTTACCTCTGTTTTTTGTTGCGCACAGCATCCTGTATAGTCTTGACCTGCACAGCTACCACAGACAGAACGTCCACAGAGATCCTGTTGAATTCATCAAAGCAGCCCCAGACTCCTGTCTGAGCCAGACCCTTATAGATGTTGCCTATAGACTGAAGAAATGGCATGAAGACAGGAAGAGAAGCTGAAGCGAGGAATAAATAGAAATTACAGTATAAATGCAGTCAGTGGACACTAGGAGAGAACAACTGTGCAGTTCATGCTACCTTGTAGTCCATCTGTTCTGAGCAGTTGAACACATACACCATGATGCCCAGAGAGCGTCCAAGGTCCTTGGTTGTCTCTGTCTTGCCGGTGCCAGCTGGGCCTGATGGTGCACCGCTCATGGTAAGATGAAGGGACTGGGTGAGGGTTATGTAACACCTGACAGTGGTAGGGTTGAGGTGAAAAGTAATAGAGAAAAAATACATTAATTTCAAATGACCTGTGCATTTGTAAACAATGTGCTGTGAAAGCAACAGTGTCATGCTGTATGCATTTTTTTATATGTAATGGTTAATTATAGAATGTGGTCAGACCTAAATATTTGTGCTATCTCTTTATCTGATCACAGAAGAGTAACAAAACACACTCTTTTCCTTTTCTAGTCTCAAATTTACATCTGCGTGGGTGCTAACTGCTTTTAAGCTTTTCACACCTTGACTGGAACACTTAAATGTTAAGTGCTTACAGTGACCTTGTTTGTAGTTGCTAGGCAAAAGGACTCCATTATTAATGTCTGTCATCACCCAGTTCCAGGACTCTGTTTAAAATACACATCTTCAAAAATGTGTCTCTTTTCTAAGCTTGTATCTTGGTGTAACATATATTACATGTTTACATACCTGTCAGTGAGTGGGGTGATGACCAGTCTGTTAGTGTTTCCCAGGTATTCATAGCTGAACTGGAACTGGGCATCACAGATGTTAACGTAACAGTGTTTGGTGTCTTCATCCCAGCGATGGCGTAACTGGGACAGCCATGCAAACGCCTGTCCTGTTGTCACCTAACACACACACAATAACACTGTCAGGAAGGTCTGACAGTTTGCATAAGACTCATTTAAAAAGTGATTTAGAATATCAGCGCTACCTTCTGAGTAATGAGACTGGCCACCACATCTCGAGCATGGACGTCAATAGTGCAGATGGTCATGATTTTCTGTCTGTCCCCAGGAGTTAACTCTCCGAGCAGCATGTGGATCAGCGAGTTGAGCTGTGTGATCTAGAACCCAGCAAACTTTACTGAGCAAAACAACCACGGCATGGCATAACTGATCAGGTGAATCCAGAAAATAATCAGCAATAAAGCAAATCCAGTTAGACTCTGAATGTAATGCGACGAGTGCAATTTTGGCAGGAATTCAAGAGAAACTACTGATAACTCTACATTTTTGTCCTAAAACTAACAAGTATTTTCTTTATCAATAAATCTGCTGATTATTTCTTGGATTATTTTTAATGGTTTTGTCTCCAGAATGTGACAGGATGCTGAAAATAATCCATCACAGCGTCTTTAAAGCATTTAGCTTCTAAATTCTGTGATTGCAGCTTCTGCGATATGAATGTTTTCTGGTTTCTTTCCTCCCCTGTGACAATGAACTGAAGATTTTCTGATCTTCTGAACAAATTGATTAATCGTTATTTAAGATGGTAATTAGTTTCAGTTCTTGAATGAAGCTTCACCGAACCGGGTTCTATTCTGAGAAGTTCCAGTTTGGAGCCAGACAAGAACATTTATGAATAAATCCAGATTTTTAGCTCTGGTTTGGTTGCCTCTGGCAGATTTTAGAATCAGGATGAATTTTTAAAAATAAAAACAGTTTAAATTCTGTGTTTTCAGCTTCTTTAATGTGGGTGTATTCTGGTTTCTTTCCTCTGTGACAGTTGGCTGAATATCTTTGGACAACCACTGTGTTCACCCACCAGCCTAACAATATCTTACTTTAGAGCACTACCTGTTTTCTGTTGTAGTCTTTGAGAGCTGTTTCAAATCCTTCCTCCACTCTCTCAAAGGCAATGCCCACATCTGTGGCCCACCACACCTGACTACCGGTCAGCCCCACCTGTGAATGGACAAAAAACAGAGGGATGTACAAGATTACTTTGTGTTTATAGATTTAAATGGTTTTCTACACACTATGCATTATCAGACCTGTGCAGGGTAGTCAAAGAGCCACTGGTCTCGTGGCTTGTCCTCATAGGCAGCGACAGCTTCCTGTATCTCTTTTTGAACTGTGCAGCGCATGGTACTCTCTAAGGCACTTAACCAACATTCTGCCTGGAGAAAGACAAAAAATGTTAAAAAAAAAGTCTGAATAGTAAGGAAAAAGTATGGACATCATACCACACGGAAACTGTATTTGCATTTTGTTACATACATGCAGAACGCCCACAGAAAGCTTCCTATCATGGCTCGAACAGTTATGTAGTTGATGAATCTTGCAATAACCAAACACAACCCTCCTTAACAACTGTATTTGCACACACAGTAATCAAAAGTTGTTTTTCAGTACCTGTCCTTCGCAGGCACACGGCTCTGAGAATGAAACATATTCCCCCTCTCGACTGTACATGCCTATAGCAACCGCCACCCCCTCCTCCTCTCCCCCTTCTCCACCTCTGTCTGAGTCCTTGAAGCGAAGATCCGCTATGTTGTCAAACAGCTTCAGTAAATGTCTGGTCACCTGGAAAAACACACAAACAGACACACAAGGACAGTTATTCTTTTAAAGGTCATGTTGTTAACAGACTGTGATCTCTTGGATTGAATTATAAAAACAAAACAAAACAAAGAAACAAGAATCAATGTCAAATTTCCACTTTGTCTTTCATTGTTATTTTAATCAGCATTTTCCATCCATAACCCTGAGATGCGGCTCGAAGAATATATTGTACTGATAAGTCCAATGTGCTGATAACCTCTTGGTATATTCTGTCTTGGAAAACAGAATTAAATTGTAATCTGGCACCTGTTTGGGTTGTGTTCCCTTGGAGACAATCTCCAGCAGATCTGAGGCAGAAACAAAATAAAATCTGGGGAACGTGAGTCTCTTGGTCTCCAGATACTCAGCCAACGCCTTCTCGCACACAGACAGCCTCTGCTGTAAAGTTTCTAGGCTGTCCAGGAAGCCAGGCTGGTTGGTTACATCTACCACATTGCTGTTCTGCACCACCTCAGTCATCAAACTCTGGGTCAGAAGGACAGCAAAATAAAGTGAGAGGGGAGAGAAAGTATGCACAATATAATAGTATAGTGAGATGGAAGCCAGGACTCTATTGTTTGAATGTGTGTGTACCTGAAAGTCGGTGTGTATTCCCTGAAATCGCTCAGCATCATTGGCCAGCTGGCAGCGGATGTCATGGCTGTTAGTGAAGATGCTGTTAAGATGAGCCCATGTTCTTTGGACAGACATCCATGAGGAGATGACCAAGTCCGCCACCATCAGCTTCCTCTGCCATCCACTTACTTCTGCCTGAAAATACTCCACATATTTACTCATCAGGATGTTCTGCAGCTGCACCTGAAGAGAAATGAAACAGGAGCATTTCAGGTTGGTCTGTAGGAAGACACTCTTGTGCACTGTTACAAAAATGACAGGAGAATTTCTGCCTTTCCAAATTATGTCTTATGTCTTGGGGTCATTGTTTCCCCCCAAAGCCCCCAGCCCTTCATACGATAACTTTTTTTGTAATTAACATTTTTATTTTCATAGTTTCATTTCAACAATACAGCGGTAACAGTAATTCATACGATAACTTTATTATGAAACGTTAGGGGGTAAGTTGTCTGTCAAACTAAAAAAAGTACATACTATAATTTGTCAAGAATCCGGTACACAGGCTCACCTGGTTGTCTTCCAGTGTCTCGATCAGATTCTCATCTGCTTTGAGTAGAGGGGTTCCTGTGCTGGTATGAGTCTCATAAGACAGCGACATAATGCTCCATGTCTGAGTTATCTCGGCCAAAATCTATAAATTAAATGAAGAACTTTACACGTGTCACATCTGTCATTTGAAAAGAAGGGACAAAATAAAAAAATGTACAGCAGGAAAAACTTTAAAAGTCTCATACTTTGCCCACTTTCAGCAAATTCATGAAATTCTCACATGTTCCCTGAGTGGATCTTTTAACGCTTCAGCTCATAATAGTGCAAAGTTCATTTCACCATGACTGCATAATGGTTTTAATCTTGTTCTAAACAATGTGTCTACGGGGTCTGTAGTTATAAAAGCCACTGAGCTGCTGCTCCCCCCGTCAGAAAAAGAACTCTGGGCGCGTTCCAAAATCCATACTAAAATACTATTCACTGTAGTATGCCAGAAGATGATTTTGCATGTCCCAATACACTGTATGTCAAATGTAGTATACCAAAAATACCAGGATGTCCTACTATGTCCGGTTAGATTTTGAAGCATGCAAGCCAGCCTGCTTTTCTGGCCATTCTGATTCATTATCCTGTGACTCAACAAGCAATCATTTGTATTGTTCGGTAAATTCTTAGATCCTTATGTCCAAATGAATTATTCATTATTACACATCACAGCATATTATTATTGGTTGGTATGGATTTCTACCTTCTCAATGGCCATTTCTTTCACAGCCTTGTCCACTATGTTTTTAACCTCATCCTCCACACGATGAAGCTGTAATTCCAACAGGTCCCCCAGGGTGGTGCCCTCCCCCATCACAAACCTGACCTGAGGACCAGAGAGGATACATGGAAGCCACGGCGGTGATCAGATTTCAGATTAAGACAATTACGAGAGGAGTCTGCAAACTAGTCGAAAGTATCGTATACAGTGCAGAACACAGCCTCTAATGAAATATTATTGAATTTGACGGTGCAAGGGATTGTGAAGCAGCAGCCAAGATATTCTCATACCCCTGTGGTGTTCATAAGCTGTTGCCAGTGTCTCTCCCTGACAGCAGAGTTTTGCAGCTCGTTGACAGCTCTCAGAGAGGTCAGCAGGTTTTTCACAGTTGATTCAAGACCCATGTAGACGTCCCACACCCGTACCTCCTTATCCAGCATCTTCATCTCCTGCAACACACAACAGAAAAACTTACAAGTACTAAAAATTCATTGTTTTTTAAAAAAATCACAGCATAAACTAAAAATAAAATAAAAATTGTAAATATGACAGTATCTGCCCGCTGAAGCTTGCCCTACTTTAGCAAACCGCCGGAGCTCCATGTCCATCTGCTCGACATTGATCTCTTTCCATGGAGTCTTGGTCCAGTCCTGTATACTGGTCTAGGATCGACAGGAGATTGAAAGCATTACCGGAATAATTGTCTAATAATTCCCAAAGAGGGAAATCTCTTCTCACTGGCAGTCTTTAAAGCATTCAGAGCACAGAATAAACTCTAAAACACATCTACAAATATGTCAATGACTCACTTGAGAACACTTGCAATGCAGATCCCTTTTCATCTCTATACAGACCTTTCCGCTCTGTATTGATGTTTAAACTATGGAGCTCAAGCACAACTAAGAAAATAAAAATGCCTGCATATTTGCGTTGTGCTGGTATATATTTACCTGCACAAAGATGACCATGTCCCAGACTGCTTTGACAAGTATAATATCAGATCGACACTGCCGCAGCTGCTTATAGTCTGGAAAGCTGACCTCAAACAGATCAGCTGTGTCCTGCAACTTCTTCATTTCCATCTCCATCACTGCAACGGCTCGATTAGACTGAAGGCAGACATTTTGATACGCTGTTATTTAAAACTGTAAGGTAAAATAGATTTTAATCACATAAAAAAAATGAGTGCCAAGTTTCCTTTTTAATAGGTAGCAAAGAAATCTCCCAATACTCACCTTATCAATTAGTTTATATGGCTCTTCCAAGTTTATCTTAAAGATTGATTCGGTGCGAAACTGTTCTCTGAACTCATACTGCTTGACCTGAAATGTGAAAACATGGCAAATTCAAGGTTCGTGCATATCTGCTTCCATCTCTTCATCTATCACTGTGCAGACACTGGGGTGGTGCGGTGTCATATATAATGCAGGAAAGAAGGTAAGAAGGTTTCTATGTCAGATATTGAGCGCTTTGTCAGGGGTTGCCAGACTGACATCCTACCTGGCTCACATGCAGCCTCACCTCAAACCTGACACATTTCCTGCGTATAACTGAAACTTCATTTGACTGTAGCGGTGCCACTTCATGTTTGACTGTGAAGGCAATTTTCCGGAGACTTTTCCATTTTTCAGGCAGCTCCTGTGTTTTGCGGCAAAGGAGGGGAAAAATGTAATGTAGTGATAACTGTACATATTTTCTATCATCTGTGGAAAAGTGTACGGTTGTACATTGGTGCATACTTCAAGCTGTGTGTAGACGCTCTCTGGAAGTTGCTGTCCGTATGTCTTCAGGAGTTCGGCAGTAGACTTGAGTGGTTTGAAGTGCTGTTCGTTGCTGATCTGTCTGTCTCGTATGGCCATGAGGTGTCCCATGATGTTCACAAGACCTGCATAGTCACCATCTGACACCTTCGCAGAAAGACCGCTGGCCGTGTCCTGGACAAAACTGGATAACTCCCTCACACTGTGGGACAGAGAAGATAGAAGAAAATGTTTTTTGAAGTATGATATTAAATAAAAATAATCCTAACTCCTACATCCACTTAGTGGCCAAGTCAAAATTAAAGAGTTGCTATTTTTTTCTGTTTTTGTTGATGTTGTACATTTATAATGATAAATTCTTGTACATGAGTGTCTAACCTCTGGTTTACATGGTTGAGAAGGTGCTCTTTGAACATCCAGCTCCACCTCTTGATGACATTCATCAGTGTGTGCTTGAAGGGTCTGATGTCCAGCTGCAGCCAACCACAAAACACCCTCCTGTCTTCCATTTTGCTCACTCGAACATACAGAGACTCAAACAGATTGATCTGTAATGAAGAACGATATGGTTAATATTGTTGCGCTGACCATATTTGTAATTGCTGGTTAGATAAATTAAGGTTAAAGAATGTATAAACCACAAAAGTAGAACACACTTGTTCTTTAAAGTTGTCCAAGGTGGGTGGGTTCTTTTTTAGCTCGTAGTCAGCATACAGCTCAGCTTCCTCTGTACTCAACACGTGGCCATAAAGCAGAAACTGTCTCATAAATTCAGACCTGTGAATGAAAAAGACAATTAAATGTGCATTCCTGTATAAGATAAATTTGATAAATGTCATAAACAAATCAAAAATAGTGAAACGCATCTGACCTGTCATCAGTCCAGAGGTATCGATAGCTGGAAAATGATGCCTGGTATTCTCTGACCTGAAAATCAACACAATCTCTACAATTATATTCCTGTAAACATAAAAAATAATCCTCCATGTGTGAAGAGAAAAAAAGACGCTTACCTTAGCGACAGCTGCGCGTGCCCGTGAGCGGATTATGTGGCACATCTCTGACAAATCCTCCATTTCATTTATGTCACACTACAAGATGGGAAGTCAAGATAGCGTATGACAAGCGTATGTCTACATGCAAACATAAATATGTATATGCGTTTGTATGCACAATGTGTATAAGTCTACAATCTAATCTGTCCTCCACCTGATAGTTCTCCAGCTGTTTGTGGATTGCCACTCTGGGAATGAAGGACGCCGTGCTTGTGATGTTGGCCACCATCTTATCCACAATATCGTAGAAATTACCACTGTGGCTCAGGTCTAATGAAGGCTCAAAGGTCATCTCATTGCTGTTGAGAACCAGCTGAACCTCAAACAGTGGTGTAATGCGCTGAGCAGCATCTGTGTTGTCCATGAAATACTGCAGCGAGCAGCGGACTGCACTGGAGAAGCCTGACAGGATCATGCGGTCCACATACTCTGTGTAGGCCTGCCACTCGCTGCTGTTTAGATCTGCCACACCGAGCAGAGATTGGTTCTCCTGGAACACAGTGGTAACGTTTTAGAAGGAATGGGAAGGGAAAAAAATCTAAATAATCAAAGACACAAATGTGACTTGCAGATGTTACCATTATATGTATAATGTGCACAGGTCCTTCTCACTAAGATCAGGAGTATGATGTGAACATACCTGCAGTAGTTTGTGTATTTGCTCCCCTGTACTGGTGATGAGAGCATGCTGTTTAGAAACACTCTCTTCAATGTCAGAGAAGATGAGGAGAGTAGAATCCCGGCTCTTTCTGGTGATGAAAGCACGGTTGCTGAATTTACCCATAAGACCCTGGATGGCCTCCACATTAGCTTTGCTCTTCCAGACACGAGTAGAAATACTCTGCCGATAGCAAAAAAAAGAGAACTTTTACAATCAATATTTACAACAGTATCATGCTGAAGTTTGTGTTTCACAAGCTTTCTACAGAGGAAAAGTGCTTCCCTATAAATATTAAATGTCATTTTTTGTTTGCTGGGAACTCAGTCAAAACATTTTCCTAAATCGCATAAGAAAATCTTCAGTACCTTGACCAGGTCTCGTGTACTCTGAATGTACTCCCGCAGGTCATCGTGAGCCCAGGTCAGCTCCTGGAGGGCCGGATCCAGCTTTCGTTTCATCCCATCCATCTCATCTCTCACCAGTCCCAGTTCTACAGCCAGGATGGTACCGTGGAGCTGGTTGTGCCACTGGGTCACCAAGGTGAGTGTCTGTGTGTACTACATCATAAAGTACAGTGTTAACATCAAAAAAGCACCTACAGCCATACAGCTCATTAATATATCTGTCTGACGCTATGTCCAGTGTAACACTAGAAGGCGAGTTACTACCATGTATAGTTTCTCCCTTTTTGAAAAGAGGTGCAGAGCTGCTTTAGGAACATTTTCATTCTTCAGCATGCCCAGGTATTGAACTTCCCGTAGAACTGATGTCAACTGAAGAAAGTGAGAGGAGGAGAAAAAGCAATAAGCAATTTAATAAGTTATTTAACCAATAAGTTGTTTATCAAATGTCAAAATCAGTGCCTGATGCATAAGCCTCCTTTTGGCATTGCTGATTATAAACATTCAATACTGCAAAACACTTTTTCTTGTCTGTCTGACTGTTATGTTAGTTAGACTCTGTGATTTTATTTGTAAGTTCAAACATTAGGGTTATTGCTGATAATACAAAAATAGTTTCACGGTTCATTGAAATCTAACTGCTGTTACTAGCTCAAGGTAAAGTGGATTTACTGAAAGTGAATTTGTTAAATCCTAAATTGACAGAAACTTTCAAAGTCACTTAGCACAGTAACATACTCATTAAAACTAGAGCGCTTATGGTTGATATGTTAGATTTTCCGCTTCACTGTATGTAGCATCTTCAATCTGATGTTTTTGCAGGTACGACTGTAAGGACAACATGCACAAAGAGTATTTAAGCTCTGACTAGTATGTTTCATATTCCTATTGAAGAGCAAGTGTGCTTACAGCTGGACTGAAGTTGACCTGGAACAGGCCTGTCTCAGCGTCTAGTGTCAATAGTGGGTCCTTGAGGTGTGTTTCACAGATCTCCTCCAGCCCCTCAGTCCACTCTGAGAACAGCTCTTCATCCTGCTGATCCAAAACCTCAAGAACACGTTCACACTTCTGGAGCGCATCATCTGCCTCAGCGCATCCCAGAGGCCTGGAAGCAACAGATGGATGGAGCGAAAGAAAGAACTGGCACATATTTGACAAGTAAACCAAATTTTTGCGGTGTGTATGGTGGAGGTTGGTAGAGTTGGTCCGTACATGTGGGCCAGCTGGCAGAGGCTGCTCCTGTTGGTGAGGATGCGACTTCGAAGCTCCTGTGACCATTTGAGGTTACCAGCCACAGAAGGCATATTTTTTCCCAGGACTGCACAACCTGACTGTAACTGAAACACAAGACTTAATGAATCCGCGGACAACTAAGTCATGCTTATTTCTATAAGCTGATATTTTGCCATAGATGTTTGTAACACAAATGTGTATGTCATGACGCCATATGTATTATCTTTAAATGCTTAGAGGTTTCTCTGCCACTACAGCATAGTTGAGCGTGGTAAATGGCTGTAGTTCAGACTAAAGTCATTTATTCACATGTAATACAGCCATATTTTTGCATATTCTTAGGTAAGTGAGCTGATATTCACATTTCTAAGTCACTGAGAATTTCGGATCAGCGTCTCTCACCCCGTCTCTGTGTTGATCAAGTATAAACTGACAGTGGTCGATTTCATGGTTGAACACGGCCAACAACTCGCTGTAGTTAGGAGAAAACAGCTGGTGGATTCTGGGTCTCTCAAGCAGGGTGCCAAACATTTTTAACAACTAGATGGGACAGAAGAACAACAGTTTAATTACAGTGTACATTTTAGACTCATAATGTATAAAAAATACACAGCATGCCAATTGTCCCTATAATGACCAAATGCCCCACAGCACAGATGAATATTATTATAGTATGTCTAGCATTTTCCACTCCTTTCACACAGTACTGACTACATGCTTGTATATTACTTAGCACAGAGATAGTATTGTAAAAGGAGTCGGTGTGTGTAAACGTACCTTAAAGGTTGACTTCAGATTTTTGGAGTGCTGAAATGCCAAATTGAGGACGGTTCCCAGCCTTTGGTCAAAATCTCTATTCTGCTCCATAAAGCGGCTGTAGTGACACACAAAATCCTGGACACAAGAAAGTATAAGACAGGAAATTATGGATATTTTTTAGTGGCTTTTGTGATTAAAAAAGCTTTAAATCCACTTATATTATTAGGCAATTTAATACCATTAAATTTGCTTCAAGTTCTCCTTAACCCAGTTAATCAGTATTGGCTGGAATAACACACACTTGAGAAAAACACATTATAACATAGATCAATTTCTGATTGAGTTCCTGTTCCTAGTCACACTGGAAGCTGTTGTAAAAATTCTAGTAAATTAAATATTGATGCACTGACTAATAATGACTCCTGTCACTGGTTCTTGTGTGTTGCTAAGCAACTACTTTGCTTTGCTACCTTTCAATTACTGCACTGCTGAGCAGAAAAATAACATCTAATTGTTATTTTTTATTATCTGGCTGTGCATGTCAATGCCACTTACAAATCACTGTGAATCACAACCCTGTGGGGCTTATTAATTAAATAGCAGTGTGCTATCAAAGACAGCTGCAACAAGCTCACTCGGTCTCACATTGTTAGTGTAGTCCAAGGGGTCATATTTGCTCTCTCTGAGGGTTCGCCAACAGTCATGAAACTCCTCGCTCATGCTAAAGACCATCTCGCTGAGGATTTTCCCTCTGGAACCACCCAGTTCAATCTTCTCCAGCTTCAGAAAGTCCAATGCTGTTGCAAAGAGTTCCTAAATGTGAAATGAAAAATGGCACTAGTTGGTCAGGGTGACAGGATGGAGGAAAAGATATTTAAAAAAGCCACGCTTGGAGAGCCACACACCTCGATCATTAGAAGCCTTTCCACGATGCAATCTGAGCGCTTGAACACAAGTGTTGCAGGAAAGTCCCATAGCTTTATGTTCTGACTGTGTCTGTAGTACTGAGGGATTTTCTTGCGGTGAGTGTGAAACAATTGCTTAAAGGCGCGAAGCACTGAGATGCTTATCTGTACTCGCTCCATCCCCTCCTCAAGCTCCATCTTAAACAGCTCTTCAGGGATGAGGTAGGCAAAGGCCTGTATACAGATGAGTCAATATTGAAATCAGCTGTAAAAGTTTTTCTTCTTTAGTCTTTTTTCACATATACATAAATGCACCTTTTCAACGATCAGGTTGCAAAACTCCTGCAGGAGGACCACCATGCGCTGTGGAGTGCAGTAGTACTGGGAGTGACTCCAGATAAGGCAGAGAGTGTGATAAAGTGGAGGCAACAGAGTATCCACCTGTGGGAAACTCCTCTCTTCTAAGTTGCTGATTTGTCTCCGCAGAGGCCGTAGATGCAGATCTATGTCCTCTGCTTCCAGCACGGCTTTAATTACATCCACAAGTATTAGGGGGTGACATGAACACAGTAAGGGGTTAATTCTGCTCTGGCAGTAGTGTTCTTAGATTGCATTCAATAAGACATTCAGAAATTATCAGGCTTAATATTAAAAGAAAACAGAAGCTTGCTGTGCGTCTACATAAAAAGAAACTGTAATGCTGGACTAATAGAGTAAATTCTGGTTGTTAAAAACAACAAGCACTTATTTTGTTTCTGAAGTAAAATTAAATGAGAAGTCGTGCAGTGAGACACCTGATGACAATGAGGAAATTATATAATTAGCACTGATAAATGTGGAGTAATGCTGATCTACCGTCATTGACTTTCACACAGACATCCTTGAAGGCGGAGTAGTAACTGCTCTTGACTCTTCTGAGGATCTCCATAATCTGTTCCACTTTGGAGCTCTGGATCTGAAAACAAACGTATCAGAGTAGGACACACATTCAGTGGTCACTTTATTAGGCAAACCTTTAAAATCTGTTGTAATCAGTTAAATTTATAACACTCACAATGATCAGTTTTTGATATTATACAATATATTGTGAGAACGTTCCTAATTTTATGTTCTTCTGTTTACACAACAGGGATGCACAACGTTAGAAACATGATTTAATGTAGTGGAACGCTTAACATCTGTGACTTTAATGTTGAAACATATTATTTTTGACATACTGAATTAACACTAGCATGACGTTATAGGAATAATAAAAGCAGACTTTGTGGTGGAGCAGTTAGACACTCGTCTACCTTATAAAATGGACAATGCATGTATATCAGCTGATATGGGAGGAAAAATACTCCAATAGTGGAGTGTGTGCTATGTGACATGACATTAGGGACAGTTACTGGTTAATAACTTAGCAATTTCAATCTTTAAACTCAAAATGCTGAGAAATAACAGAAGCCCATGAATTACACCTCTATTATTGGCACTTTGAGAGATGTAGTTTCAGTTTACATTTGGAATCAACTGCATCCCTGTCAGCTTCCACAGAGCTACTGTCATACTTGTGACTGGATGCCCAGCAGGTTTTCCCTCTGAGTGGTCCAAAATTGGAGCTCCACGTTGGGGCCTGGGTGGTCTCCCTGGAGCAGCACCATGCCGGAGTCTTTCTTCAGCACATTCCATATCTGTCCGGACCACTGAACTATCAGAGTTTCTATAGAGTATAACAAGCCACGGTCCAGTGGCCATCCTGTGGGGCTGAGAGGGACAGAGAGTGGGGCAATCAGTGTGGATAAAAATAGCAACATGAGCTATGGAAAATGAATGTAGAGTAGGATAACTACAAATAGGAGTAAACTGTTCTAGTAAGTCTGCAAATGTCATCACTGTCAGTTAGCAAATCATTTTTATTACACTGAGTCAGCCAGCGTTTACTGTAACAAACCTCTGCGCACCATGTTTAGCGGTACCTATTTATGACCTGAGGGGTGCCCTACGAAGCACATTAATCAGTTAAAGAGGTATACAGAGAATAAATCCAGAGTTTATAATGCCACAAAGGTGGCTCTCTTTTAACCCGACTAGATCACCACAGCAGTTTATGCTGCACAGCTGGAGGAGGTTATATGCAAAGTTTGGGGTTTAAATCAGCTGCAGGAAGCACCACCCTCTCACAGTTTCTTTTCCTGACCAAATTCTCTATGAGTGACAGATTCTTAGCTGAAGGGACTATCTGCAAACCTGTTGAGCGAAATGAAGCTCACTTTGATTTGGCTAAAAACAAATGCGTACAGTTCATTATGGGATAGTGTCAGACCTAAATGCAATTTGTGAATACCATGTGTAAATGAAAGACATTAAAAGTTACAGAGCTCTAATGTGCTGCATTCATATCAGAAATAAGCTGCAGACAATAAGAGTACAATAAAGTAAATACATTGACTTACACCATTAGGATTTTC